GAGAAAAAGCGAATGGAAGAAGAACTCTGCTGCGTCGACTGCGAGAATTTTGGTCCTGGTACCTGTGGCCGCATTCGTTGGTCTGAGCCTGAAGTTCAAAAGACGGCTGAACCAGCGGCTGAAATTGATGAACCTGTCCCGAACATTTGGGGATCTGGCGATTTGGAGGATTGGAAGGAGCCTGCCTCCGATCTTGCTGACTGGTGGGCTGAGAACAAACTGGACATTCCGGATCCAGTCAAGGTCTTGCATATGGATATGCTGTGGGTGGACGAAGATTTCGGCCCTGACCCTACGCCCAAGAAGAAGCGTAAGCACATCGTGCTGCAGCGCCATGTTCTCCGTGGCATTCCCCACAGCTATTGGAAGTGAGGACTTTTGCCAATCGGCCGTTCGTGTGTTTAAATTGCGGTTTCAGATTTAACTCTGTATGAGCCCTTTTGTTGAATCTCTGCTGTTTTGTGCCTTTTTTCGCGTCTTTAACCGTGTCTCAGCGTGGCACGCTCAATCGCGTATAATTTTATAGCTGCTGCCTTTTAGCATTTAAAACGGCTGTTCTTTTGCTCTCATCCCAGTTGTGATCGAGCCTACAGTTATGGTTCTGTTTTCCCTGAATTTTGTACTGATGGAACGATTTGTAATTTTACGAGCCTCAAACGTTGCGAGAAAAACAATTTAAATCTTTCGGAAGTTGCTTTTGGTGTATTAAAAGTTGTAATTTGCTTGGTGTATATTGAATCGATATACACACTCTAGTGAAGTGGCTGATTGCGTCAAAAAGTGTTGCTGCTATACACACGCTCTCCCGTAGGCCGTGTGTTAACGGACTTCGCTGGTTACGAAGTATGCGGTCGCCAGTATGGGCGGCTGTCAAACTCCTATCCTGAATGTATCCTATTATGAATTTTTACTTTAATTTAATCATTTACAATTACCGTGATTTTATTCCGCTGATTCCGCTGCCTTAAGTTTATTTGTGCAATCCGTGATATTGTGGTTATTTGTCAAATCACGATGACTCCTCCAGCTCCGGAGAAGAAGAAAGCGGCCAAGCAGGCTCTGGAGAACCGTGTCTCCACATGGACGGAGACAGTCGCTCAGAAGATGGCCGAGCGTACAGAAGCCCAGCAACGTTTTGAGCGTGGCAGAATTGCCGTCAAGGAGGCTGTATCCAAGCTCCCTCCTAAGATACCTTGATGTGGCATGGCATTATCTTGCCGATCCTCACAGGACTTACGACCGGAAGTTGTGGTTAGCTCGTTCCTGAGGGATTCCTGATCTTCTATGTTCCTGACTCGTTCGTCCTATTTCCACCTTAGTTCTTCTGTTACAGTTTGAGAGTACGAGTGCCTACCGATTGAGCATTACAGGCGTGGAAGAGTAAAGATTGTTCATGGAGCCTTAACCGGCGTGAACGCTTATACACGACAATATAACATAACTACAGTAAATCAGTCATTTTAATTAGCGTCCAACGAGCAGGCATTTCGTTATGTTGGTGGATGTTGCCAAGTAAAAATAAAGATAACTGAATTATGTGGTAGATACAGCGTATGCGTATCTACACACAGTGTAGTTATGTAAGACCCTGCGTGGTCATGTCATGTCATCAGCATTATGTAAGTATATTGCACCAGGGAGTAGCGCTGCCGGCTACTTCCTGGTGTGTTTGCCAGAGGTGTTTGTTTCGTACCGCGTTGGTCGTATATAATCAACGCGGCTGCTGTATTGTAGGAAGGCGATCTGGTGGTGTGAATACAGGTACCTCCTTAGTTCGGTCTGGTCTGGCTATGTGGTGTAGTATGCTACTGTACGTATATTTGGAGCAGGTCGCCCATAATTAAGAAGACTAACAAAACACAAACAAACGCCTGACTGCCGTCCCGTTAAAAGAGGAGGCCAGCTCCCGCTAGCATTCTCGTTTAACGTTGCGGTGGTTGGGTTTTCTGCAGTCGCAGTTGTTGTCAATCTATGGCCATAGCTCCGCCGCTTCATCATACCCAGTATGACCAGCTCTTGAAGGACTGGTGCTGACCTTTGTTTGGGCCTGTCGATCGCCGGCGAACGGCATGCCCAGACCAATGCCAGCACAAGTGGGAGAGTGATGAGCACTCCTGCCACTGCTCCAGTTGTGAAGTAGATGAGGCTCCATGGCTTGTTTGTAAAAAAAATTAATTATGAAACGCTACAGGATAACTGTAGGTAGTGTGTGGTAATGCGGGTTTGGCAACTGTTTGCGGAACGTTGATATATGTTAACGTTTCCGGAAACGGTTTCCGCAGACTGCAAAGTACTGTATATAGAAGTATACTTTGCAGCGTAGCCGTAAGCATATTTACGGCTACGCTGCCCGACAAGGTAAGACGGAAGTGGATCATCAACACCGGCACTTGTTCGGTGCCGTTTATACCACACCAAGCTAACCTGGCGTAGTGTAAATGTAAGCCACTATGAAATCATTATTTATCATTTCCAGTTCCCTGAAAACATTTCATTACTGAAGCAACAAAAGAATTGCTCAGCTGCGTTCTCTCAATAATACTGAGCAATTTCTCGTTACCCCTCAGGCCGTAAATCGGATTCGTTGTAGTACAACAACATCTGCTGTATGAACATTCACCGCTTTTCGGCAACGAGAGCCGGAAGGAAGGCGGCAAAGATATTCATAGAAACAAGGAAGATCTGAGAAAGAAACCAGCACCGATTTGCTTGCAGAAATACTGCATAAATTACGTATCTGTACAGCATACGTACCGGCGGTATGTTTTTCATTCTCTGTAGATCGTTATATCCCGCTGTATTGTTTTATTAGCCGATTCGATGCAGAATTACAAATGTCTTACTCGTAGTCATTTTATTACGTTTCAGGGCATCACAGAAAGTATTGGCATTATACTGTTCTGGTATTATTGATTACAGAATGTACGGAGTATAACAGATCTTGAAATTTAGTTTTCCACGCTGTACGCACCACGCAGGATGGGACGACCGCTATACAACAGTATAATTGTTTTTTGGCAGTGATCTGTATCGGGCTGCATGTGAACTGTATAAGTGTTATCTACGGAAGAAGGCAGCACAATAAAACCAATCTCCAGAGTTCCTTCCCTTCTGATTACGAATTCAGGTTGCGTAGGGTTGTCAGGACTAGGAGCGAAGGTCATTTCACACAGCTATGGCAGACAAAATCCTTCGGTATGCATGAACCACCTTCAAGGTTATACATTTAATTCAAATAAAACACCAAGAGAACAGGAATGTACAGAATCAAAGCGTTCAAAACCAGCGGTTAAAACGTATTTGCAGAACCTATAAGCTGTATAGTACATATATACATAAAATATTCGTACCTGATCTATCTGACTAGCGGTTGCGGCTAACAAAAGTATTATCTACAAACAACAGTTTCTGTATAAAATTTTAAAAAAGCACAATTATATTCTATGTATTTTGGACGCACATTATTTATTTATTTAATGAGTAGACATTGAGCTTAGATTAATGTTGTGCTTGTGGTTGATCGTACTTCCTTCTCTGTTCTGATCAGCGTAGTTTTCGCAACTCCTCAGAGCCGGCGATGCAATTGTCAGCCAGTTCCAGTTGCGCTGGCGCTTCCCCGATGCGGCCGCTAAGCAACCGCACCCGACATACTTTGGGACGTCTCCTACAAGAAAGATGCAGGCATTAGTCCTCCCGGATCGCTCTGCTATTTTACTACCAATGCTTCGAATCAATTATTATGTTTTCTCGAAAGTGACAGAGGAACTAGCTGCCAAAAATCGGTGGAAACTATCTATATAATGGTGTACGTACACCCAGCAAAACCGTACAGCGATAATATTTCGGATAAAAAATTGGAAGGGAAAACGTTTCGCACTTGCGCTTCGCTCTTGGTCACCGGATTGACGTCAATGCTGGTTAATGGAGCGCACAACTTCCCGTGTCACTTCTCAGTGTTGTGCGGTCGGTGAGCGGACCAATTTTCTCACGGCTGAAACCCGTGAGAAGCAGATATTAGTCGAACACCAGCAGCCCGTTGGTTATATACTATCTGTAAACAATTTCGGCCACAACTCGTGCTAACCCTAAATATCGCCTAAATCACAGCAAGAGTACAAAACCTAAAAAAAAATTTATGGAATCAGGGTTTATTGTGAGAACTGCTCCGATTGTTCAAGGCGCTATAATGGGACAGTTATTTCAAAATTCATCTGTACGTATGCAGTATCTACGTATATACCGTAGATACCTAAGCAGCTGCATAACACTGTACTCTTTGTAAGTACGCTGCTGTTCGCACTACTATTCGATGCTTTTCTGCAAGAATCTTATCATACAGTATCATTTTTATCTGCATACATAATGTACAATGTACGGAATAAAAGCGTTAAAAAAACCCGGCTAAAAACACTGTAAATGCGAATCGCTACGGGGACTCACCGGATTAGTATAAAAACCCCTCCGTCTGGATAATCATTCTGACAATCTGACATGATCCATTGTTATGGACCGGTGGTCCAGGATCCTTGTCCAGATTCTCGTGAAATCATGCACTTGCGCTTTCCAGGCAGGTCACAAAAACCTACGTCACTGCACATTTAATAAAAGCACTGAACAAAAATGCTCTTTTGTGTGGTTGCTGGGGGGATAAATAGAGCAAAAATGCTCTTTTGTGTGGTTGCTGGGGGGATTTCGATTAATTTTATGAGCAATGATTACGGAAATTTCCAGCATACAAGCAAAACTAAATGATAAAAATTACCACCAGACCAGTCGTACTGCCAAACAACATCTTGATCGTCGCTAAAATTCTAAAAAATAACGCTTTTCTAACCGCGGGTTGTCTTACCGACACAATCAAAATCGACTTTTCATAACGCTTTCGTAGAAAAATTCCGCTCTGCCGAAAACACGCAAAGCTCTAACAGCAGCAGTTCAAAGCGGCACGACCCGCACAAAACGCAGTAGGCTGTGTCCGGGATGCAGCGGTATCCGGCTGTTCAACCAAAATACGATGCATCCGTATCCCGCTGTAGCTGAACGAGAAACTGCCGACTAATACGCGACAGGTGTGCCAGCCGTAAGTCCTCCAGCCCGTCCACGCACCACTTTTTCCCGCGGTAATGCGCCGATGAACGCGGATCAGCCGACTGCAGCGCGCACAACACCTGTGAACGAGCAAAACCAACCAAACAGAAGTCACGGAAACGAGGGCATCGATAACCGTGAGTATAGAAACATCAGTACAATCACGCTTACCAAGGCGATGACTTTCTTCAGATCGAACGAGTTCTCGAGTTCAGCCCGGAACAACAGCTTTCGTATTTCCTGCTCATTCGCCACCGGCAGCGCGGCGTCCAGTGCATCCCACAACGCGCAGCGCAAGTTCCGACCAGTCGGCAGCCGCACCGAAGGAATGCTGATCCCCACACGAACCATTCGGTTTTTGCGCTCACCGTACTCGCGGTAAAACCAGCCGCACAGCACACGCAGAACGCAGCTGGTCATGTGAACCGCATCGCATGGCAAGCGGCCGCACGCGGCGATAAATTCCTCCAACTGATAGCGAAAAGTGGTACGTTCTTCGGTCGCTGCCGGAACAGACGGATGCAGGACACACTCACCGCTGTCCGGCAAATTGCCGGTTCCGTCCATCTGCAGCTCCACAGTGAAGCGATTCCAGTGCACACGCCGCAAGCGGATGCCGGAGCGGTGCCGTGCCACATAGCGGATCATATCGCAGAGCATCAGCAGGTCCGAAGTATTCAGCGCCGAAGGGCCACGCCGATAGCACGAGTGCACCACAACGTCCTGCGTGCCCGGCTGTAAGCGCTTGAAAACGCTGGCCATACGCAAGAAATTCCCGCCGTCAACGTTGGAGTCAACGAAGTCTCCGATCCGCAGACGGCCGCGCAGTGCGGGCGTGTCCATCAGCCGGTTCCACGCTTTGCACACCGCCCGCAGCTGCGTCTGCGTCACCGTTCCCACTTGCGAAAATACCTCCTGCCACACTTTCATCGGCAGCGCCGTCTCCTCGTTAACTTCCTCCGACAACGTCGACATCCGCAGCAGTTCCGCTTGGAAATTGGCGAAGGACGCCTGCGGACCGCACAAAGGACATATCTACAAGCACAGCTGATTCAACGCCGGAAAGAATCTTTTACCAGGGCTCGCCCGTAACGGGGATCCGACATTCCAACTATTTCCCGGGTCTCCAGCGGGTAGATGTACCCCAAACGGCCATTCACAAGCTCCACGACATCGACTGTACAGGGACAGGAAACGTTACGCAGAGCAGGATCATTCAATCGTCGGATGAGGTCCTCGGCTTCGTCACTGGACACCACGGGAAATGCGTTGCCCAGCGGCACCGTACCCTTGAAGAAGGTCCCCGGCTGAATGTGACGGTCCAGTTCGAGTGCTCTCCGCAGTGGCCAACGGATGCGTTGGCAGGGGACGATGTCGGTGCATCGCAGCCCGTCGTCCTTGCGTCGCCAATGGATTATGGCGCCTGCGAACGCGTCCACCGACTCACAGCGTCCTAAACTGACCGCTTCGGCCGGCAGCCAAACCAACGGGCCCACCGGCGTTTCCGGCACGAGAACTTCCACGGGAAATTTAGAAAATTCCGGGTGAGTATTGGGAAGCGCCTGAGCTCGGCTAGCCACGATGGGCAAGAAGAGCCGGTCGAAGGGAACGTGTTCACGCCGTCGGTTGGGATAGAGCAGATCAACGAAGAGGCCGTCGTCCGCCACGTCCACGACGCGGCCATACCGCTTCAGACCATCGTCGCCCAGAACGTCCACGGCATTGGCATAGTGCATCAGACGGAGCATGGTTGAGCAGTAAATGTCTAGAGCGACCCTCAGAGTGCACAGCGAAGAACTCCGGTCACGAAAAGGTCCTTGTTCGAACAACTGCAATGCAGACAGAAAAATCTAAGTGAAGGGCAGAATTCGTTATCCAATAAAGTAAATAATAAAATAATATAAAGTTACCCTGTATGTGAAGAAGAACAGTGCAAGCCGGCCTGTGTATTACGGCCGCTTTAAATCAAGGAGAATATTATTCAAAATCAGAAGATTGTCTGCATCATTCCACTGCACTCAGATTCTCATAGTTAACCAAGATGGCTTCAACACATTAAATTTAACATTTACTAAGCCGTACTAATTCCATTGGCTGATGGCTATATCTGAGTGGATCGGTCCATCGGATAAGGCACTCGATCGGCATTGGAGGATGTGCGTACAAGCCCATCCCGAATTAAAGTAACGGTTATACCGATCTGCATTCACTAGTACCGAACAAACACCGCAGGGCAGTGGCTTCGGTAAATTATTGTCAGGATTTTTATAATTAAATAAAAATACTTGGCCGTTGGTCAAACTGCTAAACTGAACTAATTACGAAACCAGAACTACCTAAACTAGCGCCCATCACCCACATCTTCGAAATTGCATGGCAGTCCGCTGCCGGAAAAATTCTTTCGCGCGTGGTTGCCCGGTAGCGGCCGCTATGAGGTGTCCGATTTTACCGACCAACTTCGTAGCTCCGTCGGCCAAGGGTCCGGATATTCCAAAGGCCGCGGGCATAAAATTGTATCTTGGCTGGAGCCACGCATGTTTTGCAAGCTTTTTTGTTTCAGCCAGCTCCGCTGCGGCACCCACGTTGACGGATGTACGGTCAATAATATATGAGGTTGCCTGAGTGTCCTCACACGTCACGTCTATTGCGAGTGCCTTACCACGCTCCCAAGGAGTAAACGTAGCAACTATTGTCTGTTATGGCCATCCCTTCGCTTCCATTCTGGCAGGGAAGTCGCTCGTCGTTAGCGCCCGAGCGAACTTTTTACTGATACCATCATGTCTAGGTAGACGCCCGGCGTTTGCACCGCATTCCCAGCCTCCTGAACTGGTCAACTAAATCGCCACATTCACATTCGTTAGGAGTGACGATGGGAGCGCCTAATCGCCTGGTTCGGAAATCAATGTTTTCCAGCAAATTACCTGTAAAGGAAGCAGCTGGCAATGCATGGATCCAGTAGCCAGGTTCTGGTGTCGACACTGCCTTCAGGTTTGCAATTTCTGCAGCAGAGACACGGAGTGCTGAAAGACCAGAGAAAGCACGCAAGGTTGGGGGAGGATCCCAGGCTTTTTGGATGCTGCGGAGGGGTCAGGCGGCACATCATTCAAGCCGGTAAGCAACTTCCAAGCCAGTGTTGCGGGAGATGTGTCGGTCGGTGGTAGCGCAGGCCCTAGTTCAGAGATAAGCGGGCGCTATGAGGAAGCCGATGCCAAATAGACGGAGGGAGCTAAGTCCTCGGTGCGTTCACTGCGTTGTATCCCTAAACCCAATCGAACAGGTAGGGATGCCTGCAACCACGCTGGACGATCCATTCTGACATTGGTGATACTCATCACAGCGGCGCGGAAAGTTTGATCTAGTGCGTATAATTCTTCCGAAAACTGCCACGCAAGGGAGGTGCGACATAGGTGCACGATATTTAGTACGCCAAGTCTCCGCCAGTGCAATTTTTTATCAAAAACAATGCTTGGTGTTTCGCAATTAGCGCAAGCCGGTCGCATCTTCACTTCTTCCAGAAGTAATTAACATTTCCAGAAGTAATATTTATACAGAAGTAATACTTATGTACAACATTGTGTTACTGCACATGTATTGTATTCGTCGTACTGTTTCCATACTGCTCCAGTCTGGATTTAACCGTACTTTTAGTGTTCGACCAGACTTGAAGTCCCCTTGGGGTTGTCTGCTCTTGTGCCGTAATAATAATAATATTTTCATCGTAACAAATCTTCGTTGCGCGTAAACGTCACCATCAGTTTATCAATTCAAGCACAAGTCAAGAAGCAGGCGCAACATGCGAATGTACAGAATAAAAGCGTTAAAAAAACCGGCTACAAACACTAATTAAAAACACACTTGAACGTAAGATATATATATAAAATACTAACATGAACAATTATCTGCAATTTTGCAAACAACAAATTTTCTGTAAAAAAGTAAAAAAAAGCACGTTTGTATTTTTTCATCAGAAGAGAGAGAGAGAACGTACGGAGCAAAAGTGATATACAAAAAACAACAAGACACATTCACGGGTTTTGGCAGAAGAGAAGACACCACCACATGTTGCACACACGGCGCACGCGTTGCGTTGGGCGAGCGCAGCGGAAGAACGACGCTAATACTCGCGATGCGCACACGCGCGTAATGTTAAAAGCAGAACAATTTCTATTTCCGTCCGCACAGTCCCGCGGCAGGAGACCCATTCGTCGAGATTAATTGCCTGAATAACGGCTCCGGTCGCGCGAGATTGTAGCAGACTGGCACACCAAAAAATCATCCAGAAACATCCCATCAAAAAAATTCCAGGAAAAATATTTTCCGGAAATCATATTTTTTCCATATAATCTCCACATGCGGCGTTAATCGGCGCTTCTATTCACCAGTTCGTCATCGTATGCTTATTCAGCGTCTGCGCAAAACAGCGAATAAAATAAACCATCAACACGATTTAAAAAATTTATTTCACAAACACAATCAAATTAGAAATAAAAATTACAATTAAATTATCACAATTAAATGGAAAATAAAATTACAGAGGAAATACCGAACATCACCAATATAAAATAATACAAAAAATTATCAAAGAAATATCGAAAATCGTGAAAAAATGAATTCGGAACGAACCGCTTAAAATGTACGAATAAACTATCGAAATTATTGATAACAGATGTGTAACAATTAGCAAGAAACAAAAACGAAAACACGGATACGAAATAGTATAAAAATTGCTAAGACAAGATTGAAAATCATAACAACACCTTTGAAAGGAAAACTGCGATAAATTATCAATAAATGGTTAAAAAAACATCCAGAAAATAACAGAAACATAAATAAAAATGGCTGAAAAATTAGAACAAAATACGGAAAAATCGTACGAAAAATCATACGCAAAACTATTGACAATATTCAAAAAGCAAAGTATCAGATTAAAATATCAGCCAGATGAAAAATGGTGATTTTTATGGCAGGAAAAATATTCAAAAAACTAATTAATTGACGACATACCATAAAGTAGATTTGGCAAGCGGAGCCGCCGGTTTTGGCGGAGGAGAAGAAGACCTTATCGTTGCGCTCGCAGAGGAACTTGAGCTTCTGCGCTTTCTACAAGTAGCAACAGACATAAAATAACTGCAGCATCGGTTGTTTTCGATGGCATGATTGGTATCCATTGCGTACTTTGTGCATGAAGACGCCGTCCAAGTGTCCCGACTCCACGTTGCGGATCTCGATGGCCTTGTTGCCCCAGCCCATGATCTGCGCGTGCGTACTGCCGCTCCCGCCGGCACTGCTCCCGCCATTGGCACCACTCTGCCCCGCGATAAACGCCACACCTACACAGGGAAATTATTTACCGGCTGCCTACCACAAATATTCAATCGGCTAGACAAAATCACAAAACAACCGAGAACATTTTCCATGTATAATAAAATTCCAGACACATGTAAAAAAACACTGGTAATACCAAAAATGTTTTAAATGTTTGTAATTTTTTTCAGATGTTTTAATTTTTTAATGTTTAAATGTTTAAACGTTAATTAATGTTAATTACTGTTAATGAATGCTAATTAATTTTCAAATGTTAATTAATGTTGGAATTTTTTTAAATGTTTTATTTTTTTAAATCTTTTTAAATGCCAATTATTTTAAAATATTAACAAAAGTTCCAAAGCAAACAACAATTCGCAAGAAACGACCGGAAATCGTGCAATACCTTTACGCATATTTCTGTAATAATGAACGGTCTGGTTAAATTTTCGTGTGCGATCGACCAGCATCTTTATGTAAAAAATCGGAACCAAAGCTAACTGTATGCCCAAAAATACAAAGAAAAAAAACATAATCAAAAGCAAACCATGGTAGAAAGAATCAAACGTACTGGTCGGCATTTCTCCCCATTGCAGCTTGACATTCTTGAGCATCTTCCCGTATGTATTGACGTAGACACCCTCATCTACACACCGACACCATTAGCTACTCGTTCCCGTAATAAACAGCGTGTACAAGAAACTCACTGTCGTAGCAAAGCAGTAAATGCATGCCCTGACTGTTGGGCAGCGTGACGATGGCGTGCGGCGTGATGGGCGTCTGCAAATAAATAAATAATAAATAAATACCACTATTTATTATTAATATATTGATGAATGTGCTGTCAGCGTGCCTGCTCGGGCGGCGGCGTGTGGACGTTGTAGACGGTGCCGGCGTCCACGTCGACGGCGTGGAAGCCCTCGCTGGACCCGTACACCACCTTCAGCCGGCTGCCCTCCTCCACCGTCAAATCCACCAGCAGCGGCTTATGCTGCAACTCACTGAAAGACTGCAAAGCACAAAAATAACACGCTACTACCCGGCGTATACAATAAACTCCACTGCTTTATTATTTTTATTATTCTGGCATTATCAAACAGTCCAAAATACTCAAACAGGAATTTTCTAATTGGGTGAGACTATAGGCACCCCTTTCACCCCCGTTTGCTATAGGCACCCCCATTTGCACCCTGTTTTACTATAGGCACCCCTTTTCCATTAGATAATTCTCACACCCCGTTTTTTTCCGCGGACTATAGGCACCCATTTTTATTTTTTTCGCAGAAGACTGATAACAATGTTCTAACAGTCTTTTTGTTTCACAACATTTTTTGACGATCTGACATTCTGACATGATTAGGTCACCCATTCAACATTAAAAGGTGTGTTAGGCACTCCATCCGACAATTGGCCGGTTTGGCTGATCGGCCAGCATAGATCGAATGCGCACGGCATCTTCCACGCGCACGACAATATCGCCCTTTTGGATGGTTTGCTCGTTTGCTGGTTTCCGTCCAACGCGTTTAGGGCATCTTAGCAAGATTTCAGTTTCTAAAACCTCTGCTAGCCATGCACGGTGGGTGGCAGCTTTGTGAAAATTGCGTTCTCTGGCCTGTGCCCTTGAACAACTTCACACTGCCAAGCGCAGACCATTGGCCCGCATTGATTCGTGCCAGGCAACTGGCGCTGCACAACCGGAAGCCTAATGTTCACATCACGCGTTTCGCGTCCGTAGAGCATGGATAACTGAAGGAGGATATGCTCCGAAAGTGCGGCGTCCAGGCTGTTGTATACGGTGACGAATGGATCCCCTTGTCGCTTATGTGACAAAACAAAATGATGCCCGCCATACAACACCTGCGCGCATGCCATTCCGGCGTCAACTTCGTCCTGAATTCGGGTGACGTCAGGCGAAGAAGGATTGCAGATCGCGATGTCGCCGGGATCAACGAGGCCGGTGTACTGCTTCCGGTACTTCCGCTGGCATATGTAACTGAAGGCACCTACTACGCGATCGTACAACATTCTTCCGACGGTCTTAACGTCAACCAAATCTGTGTTGTACAAAGCGGATTGGAATTCCAGCACCGTCTTGGCCAGGTTTCACCTCTTTCACAATTACCTGCTGATTTGGCTGAGCGGCAGTTACCAGCACTGGGAGAGATGTCCGTGTTCGTTTGCCGAACTCTCCAGGCGCCGTTGGCATGTCGGATTTGCGCTTTCCGGTCACTTTCGTTTGAGCATCAGTGGTTTTGTTGAACTTTTTGGCTCGCATTCCAGATGGCTCTCGTGGTCGCCCTTTAGTGGCCGCCGTCTGGGTCAGTTGAGAGCTACGCGGCAAAAGCTGAACACTGTCGTCTCTTGGTAGCGCAGGAGGAGCGTCGCTTTCCTTGCCATTGCTGTCACTTTTGGAACTCGTTTCATCGTCGCTGCTCCCGCTAGGAACATCGTTTGTTTCCAGTGATTCGATAAAGTCCACCAAAATTTCGCTGAGACGGGCAGCCGCCGTTACGAATCGCTTAGGCGGAAGTTCTGCAAGTCTCGACATAACCGGCTTGCACACCTTTCTGGCTTCGTCCCATCTCTGCCGGGCGTTCAGCGGTTTAGACAACGGTGGATCGTCGTCCTCAAACTGTTCGGCGTTCGAAAGGGTTCCCTTGTATAGTGCGCCCGTCGTCTTCATAGCTCGCGCATAGCGCGCGATACATTCTTGAGGATTCACCACTGGCTCTTTGCGTGCTGAATGTACCGCCATAATGTGGCGGCAAGTTAAACCATATGAACAGGCGAAGTCGCAGTCACACTCCAGTGTGTCTTGACCGGTCACCGCGAACCGTTTTTCGTTGTTTGGATTGGTAACAACATATGTCCCATCCATTACCGTTTCCACCTCGTAACTGACACGCTTCAACACAGCAAGTTGTTTGAACAGAAGACGATTGGCAAAATCATTCAGCAGGTGACCAAGTTCTTCGAAAAGTCGTTGGTGTTCAGGTGCATGTATCTTTAGTGATGTGGTGTCATGCAGATATTCAAGGTATTCTGATGACTGGATAGACTCGCATGCAAATTCATGGACAACTCGAATACATTCAGCCAAGTGTGGTCTTGTTCGGCGGGTCATGCGAATGGCTGCCTTGACGGCTCTGAAAAATGACTCCACAAAGTTGTTTGTGTTGTTGCCAACAAGACGAAATCCCAGTCTGAATGCGAGGCTCCACATTCTCCGGCAGTCGTACCAATTCTTTTGTAAGTATTCCACCATGTCTCCCGGCAGAACTTCTTCCAGGGCGTGCCACTGTTCCTCAAACTCTGCTTCCGACTTCGCATATAGAGCGTTGTAGAAATGGTTGTACGCCTGGGCTTTGGTGTTGCCGCAGTGTTTCACCATGTATTTCCGGATATAGGACAGAACATGCCAGACGCACAGGAGAATCCTGGCGTTGGGAAAATGCCGTTGGAGCGCTCCGATCTCGTTGTAGTCCTTATCAACAAAAAAAGTCTCCAACAACCTGCAACGGTGAACAGTTTATAGTCGATGTTTGAAATCGTTAAAATTCGTACGCTTACCCCTAAGTCTTGTGACATGCTTTAAAAGCGTTGAAAAAGGCATCGACGTGCGCGGCCTTCTCCGAGGACATAAAACCCAATGCCACTGGCCGGCCGTGTCCATGTCGGTCTTGAACAACCACGGCATACAGGCAGTAATTCTCTACATTCAACTTGTACGTGCCGTCCAGAAACGCTAGCGAGTAGTTCTCATTGAAATTCTTTTGCATTTCTGAAGTTATGATGGTAATATTTGTGACCTTTTGGGCATCCGACACCACGATGTCAATAAATACGCCGGCGTCTTTCCTACGGATTTCGTTTAAGATATGATTGACCATCTCCTCTTCTGTTCTTCCACCTCGTTCCACTTTATCGTGCTTGGTCCGGATGTTGATAATGTCCTTGCTGGTAACCGCTTTGCCGGTTTGTTTTGCCATTTCGCGTTGGATTGCTTTCGTCGGCACGAACGATTTTTGCATTGACACGACTTTGTCGGCTTCGGTTGTGCTTAACCGCCTGTTCTCCGGCAAGCCTTTCCATCTTTCTTCGGTCAGAGGATGGTTATGCCCAACTTCCTTCTTGGTAATGCGCACCGTGGCTTCGCGGATGCTTGCAGCAACCTTAACGATAGCAGGGCATTTCTGTTTCCGGCTGTGTGTAAAAATCCTCTCCCCCTGACCTTTTTTCTCGTAGTCCTTGTGATGGACACATTCGTATTCGATCTTTTTGTACTTCAGGGTATCCGCTTTGGGATGCGTTTTTCCCAGGCTTTCAGATCGCCTGACTACGAATGTTTGGAACGTATCTCTTTGATACTGCTTGAAAGCAGCTTCGAATTCGGAAAACGCCGGGTAACTGTCCTTCAGGTCGTTTTCTTCGGTATTGGTTGGGTAAACCAGGTCATTGTCAGATCGTGGATTATTTTCGGATGGGCTACTTATTACAGAACTGTCAGACATTGTTATTACAGAGCTGTTTCTCCTGCAGCAACTCACATGTATATTACAAAAGGAACAGGCAAAAGATCCGGAGCCGGTGCTAAAATGACTTTCTCGAAAATTCTCTAAGGTCAACAAAATTCGACCTTAAAACATAGCAACGGACAATAGGGGGTGCCTGTAGCTTTCGCACACGACGGGGTGCAGAGATTAATTAATCGAAAAGGGGTGCCTATAGTCTAAGTGGGTGCGAAAGGGGGTGCCTATAGATAACGGGGGTGAAAGGGGGTGCCTATAGCCATTTCCTTTCTAATTTTCCCTTTCATTACCGGTTGAATTACTTGCGAGCCATAAGTTAAACCAGATGCGGCAATGGGATACTACAGGCGCGCATAGTGCAAACTTATTAACCAATAATTGTTTCATTAATTTTTAACCGTCATGCAAATTTCTTTGTTATTCAATGTTCCTGATCGAACGATCTGTACAAAGCATGCTTCGTACACATTTCTTCACAACGATCATGTCCATAAAATCAGAGAATATGTCAACGCAATAACCAACAATTTTTTCGGATAACACTGTTTAATCAATAATACAATAAACAATAATATACAATTAATCAATTAGTAAAATACAATAATTTTCGCACCATAAATTTTTTTGGTGGGAATAACGTTGTAAGAATAAGCACGCATCGTTACGTACCCTTCACTGCAGAAATTTTGGGTAGGGTTACTGACTTATTTTAAGTTTATTCAGTTATTTATTCGTTGTTATTTGAATTAATTATATCAGTTTAAGTTTAATGGAAATTAATGTCAGCTGACGCACCTTATACTGCATGAATTTGTGGTAGGGTTTGGGCGCCCAGGCATGAATCTCCACGGCGTCCTTCAGCGCGATGACGAGGAATTTAATCCGCTCGTACTTGACGATGCGGAAGTGGACGGCGCCCTGGATGTCGGACTGGTTCATCCAGCCGGCGCGCTTCCCCTCCACGGCGGGCCCGGCCGTCTCCGTGCGCAGGATCTTGTTGCGCAGCCAGGAGAGATAATAGACGCGCAGGCGGTTCTTCTTGCCGCTGATGGTCACCAGGATGTTCTGGTTCTCCAGCACCTCCATCTGCTGGAAGCGCCGCCGGTGGATCAGCTGGTACACCTTGCCCTGCCCGCTGCGGTCCAGCAGCATCAGCCCCGAGTCCGTGCCGATCAGCAGGTTCACCCCCCACAACGCGGCACACAACACTTCCGAACTATATAAATATACCAAATTTATGAAGGGATTATCGGCAATTAAATTATGAATTTAACCGGAAAAAATGCGACGGCATTTATTCGTTTTTAATGTTTAATTTAGTTTATACTTCCATAGAAATTTATTTTGAAAATTTCTGCGCATCCTATTTATGTACAAACCAACGAAAGGATTATCGTCAATTAAATTACGAATTTTATCGGGCAAAAAAACATTCAACAGAATTTATGTTTCAATTTAATTCTGGTTAATGTGTTAAAAAATTTAAAATCATCCCAAAAACAACCCTTCTGAACTACACCAAAATTTAACGAAGGTATACCGGCAATTAAATTATGAATTTTATCGGGGAAAAATTCCATTTCCATAGCATTCATTCGTTCCAATTTAAATGCCAATTCACAATTCAGCAAAAATTTATTTAGGAAATTCATTCTGGACTCCACGGGCTACGCGGACGTAATAAAATAATTAAGCCATCAGCGCTACAGTTTCGCAAAGAATTATACCGTAAATAACTAGTATTTGAAGAAGAAAATTTATTTTTTTGTAGATTATTTACATCGTAATTGTTTGGCATAATACCTGAATTTCTTCTTGTATTTGCGGATCTCCGGGGTATCCCCCAGACCGCCGGCGATGCTGGACTGCGCGACGGACACGGCGACAGAGGCGCTGGTGACGGGGGCCGGCTGGTTGGGGCGCAGGGCCTGGAAGTTGCTGGCCGACTCGCTGGGCATGACGTTGACGTTGACCGCCAGCGATTCGCGTTTGTTGATGACACCGCCCGCGGGGATGGCCTGCTGCAGCGCGAAGGGATACACCGGCTTCTTCTGCGCTTGTTGCTGCTGCTGTTGTTGCTGCTGCAGCTGGGTGAGGTTGCCGCTGCTGCCGTTGGTCAGGGGCATGCCGTTGAGGCCCGATTTCGACACCGCCATGCGATACTGTCCACATAAAACTCCGATTATATTTAATCAGATTTAACTAAATTACATAAAGCATTAACTGAATAAAATATATGCATACACTACGGTTATTTTTTCAGGCACACTGCGACAGGCATAACGGTGTTTAAATAAGGAATTAAAGTAAAGCTAAGGCAAAAATTTTTAAAAAAAAAATGAATAGACTTTCATCCCTCTGATTTCTGAATCGCAAGCGAAAAACCTTCGGGTTCAGATTAAACGTGCCCAACATCAGCCACAACGGCTATCTGTCATTATGTCACAGCAACAGACGTTGGACGGATATGTTTTTCATTATACCTGAATTTTCATATACCTGAATGTTGTACAGTCATAATTCGATAAAGAACAATGGCAATCCTGATAACCAACTGTCCATTTCTGTAACTGAATCTAAATTAATACAGCAACTAATATTAAAACGCTAAATTAATTTAAAATATTTAATTAATCAAATTAATACACAACTGTTGATAAAAAATTCGAAAAAAGTGCTACAACTGAATTCCCGCAGTTGTTTAAATTTTATTTTTTATTTAGTTTTCTTAAAAAAAACCAGTTGCAGATTTCAGAACATATTACTGTGCCCCTGTGCCGTTAGAATTATCTTTATTTTATTTTTATTAGTCGATTCCATTAGGCAAACACCATGATATCATAATCAAACCACGGACTTCCGGTTCATTTGATTAACCCGTCTAACCTGCCCTGATAAGGCTATAATAATTTAATAAACCCTGACATTTTTACCATGATTTACAGCCGGTCTACATTACGCATTAGGCCACACACGCCGAATAATCACACCACCGAAGCACCAAGAATTCAGAGCGCCACACACAGCCAACAGCCAGTCGTGACAGCAAAGCAGCAGCCAAGCGATTCACACAACTGCTTCACACACCGCGCGACCTACTTCCTGGTAGTTCTCAGCGGACTGCTGCTGCAGTAGCTGCAGCGGCCCGGGGTGGTGGCCATGGTGGTAGTGGTGGTGCGTGTGACGCCGGCCGCCCGTGGCGGCGGCCATGAAGCCGGCCAGCGGGGACAGACAGTGCGTGCAACTTACTTGCAGAGAACGCCGTAGCTGCTCGTTTCGACAGCGAGTAGCAACCCCATCACCAAGCGAAACAGGGAAGGAAGGAAGAAAGACAGAGAAGCCCGCGTTAGGTAAAGAGAGCGAAAGAAGCGGAAGGAGCGAGTGAGACTTACCTCCTCGGACGTGCGTTTGTCTTGAGGGAGTTGCGGGGAATGGCTGCCGCCGGTGCTGACCCCCACGGGCACCAGGTCCGGCATCACGGCGCCGTTGCGGTCGCGGGCGTACTGCGGCCCGTTGGCGCCGTTGCTGGTCGACGGGGGACTGGCGTTCGCCTGTCAAACAGCCAATTCATACACATCCAAACTTCAATATTCGCCGAATTTTTTCAAAATTAAAAACTTAATTTAAAAGCTTTAATTCAAAATTTTAAAAACTTTGGAAAATTTTCTTATAAGCAAAACTAAAATTGAACAATTTTTTCAATGGATATTTTATTAATTTCGGACAATTTTCTTACAAGCGAAAAGCGCGTCTTGTACCAAAATTAAAGCGGTCATTCGGCAGAACATAAAAATATAAATGGCGTAATAAAGTTATTCTTTTAAATTTCTTGTGCCGGATTGTGTACCAACGTTCAAATTCAAATGGCGCGTAGTGTTATTGTTCTACAATTTTGCTTGCCCGAATTTCGTACAAAACTCAAGCAGGCATTTCAAAGAAAACGTTACTACGTAGAACATGCTTCTCTTGTGGTTAAAATGTTTTTCAAATAATTTTTCCTGACAATTTATTTCGCAAGACAGCTGAAAATTCAAGGGGAAATTAATGATTAATTAATTGCAATATTATTTTCTACTGATTTTCTTACGGTCTAATTTTCCGTTTTTGTTACTGTACAGAAGATCAACCCATAACAGACCTGTACGGGCGCATTAACCGGCGGAAACTGGTAGGACGAGCGCGATTTGGCCATGGCTTCCTTGTCGCGGGCCGCTCCCGCCGGCGGCTGCCCGCTGAAGGGAGTGGACGTGGCCGCCGAGGCCTGCCGGATCTTGGCGAAGGATTCGCGCTGCATGGGCGCCCGCGACGACGCTCCACTAGCCGCAACCGCCGCCGTCGGCGGCTGGACTTGTTGCGATATCGGGCGCTCGCGTTCGCGTTCCCTCTCGCGGAACGACGAACTCGATCCCTGAGAAAACATCACATTAAAATGCCTAATAGAAATTTTATATTAAATAAAAATATATCATTTGACAGTAAATATAAAATATATCCAAATTAATATCAATGACCAGGCCCGTCGCGAGACCCCTGTGCAATTTTCAAAAAAAAACTCCTCCTAGAGTTTTCATCGGAAAATTTTTCTGAATACACCATTGGATTCGTCGTGAAATTCTGAACAAAACGGTTGAGGCCGATTTTCGAAATTCGCATTTCACCCCAGACCGTTACTGCGGGCGGTCGCCAATGCGACAGCCCAGTTCTTGGGGCATTCCCCCCTGACCCCCAAGGGGAGTCAAAGACACCTTCATGAGCCATTTTCAGTGATACAAATAGTATTTCACGCGCAAATGGTTTCTCTATTTCCGAGGGGTCAGAGGGGAAAGCCCCAAAACTTAGGTTGTGACATGGGCGTCCGCCCGGGTGGACGTGCTTGGGGAGGAGCGAATTTTGAAATTTGGCCTCAACCATTTTGTTCAAAATTTTACGGCGAGTTCAGTAGAGTTTTCAGAAAAAATATGGGATAAAAACTGTAGGAGAGGTATATTTTTGAAAGTGCACGGGGGAATTCCCCAGAAGTCAAGCTGTCGAATTGGGGACCGCCCGTAGTAAGGGTCTAGGGGGAAAGGCGAATTTCGAAAATCGGCCTCAACCGTTTTGTTCAGAATTTCACGACGAATCCAATGGTGTATTCAGAAAAATTTTCCGATGAAAACTCTAGGAGTTTTTTTTTGAAAATTGCACAGGGGTCTCGCGACGGGCCTGTCTATGACCAATAATTATTTAAATTTTTAAATATATCCATGTGAAACATATTCACAATAAACCGAATATAAATATATTTCCATATTTAAATGTCTAATGAATATTACAATAATAAATATTAAATACATATGCATATTAAATTAAATATAAAATAAACTTCCATAGTAAAATGCCCAATAAATAGTAAATTAATTAATATCAAATATGTCCCTATCAGATTAAATATATAAAATATATCTGCCTATGAAAACACCCAATAAATGGATAAAAACGGCAGCATTTACTTGGCTGGTGAGATGCGCATCCGGCCGCGTTGCCGAGCGCTCGGAAGAGGCGCGTTTGGGTTTGCGTATCGTTCCATCGCCGTCGTTATCACTGTCGCCTTTGGCCGCCGCCGTCGCGGGATCATTGATGACCGACACCGTGGAGGCACGGCTCTTGGCGCCTTGGGAAGACTGCGGGGAGGCTTCCGGGGGCAGCGGGGGGAGGGGCCGGTTCTGGATGGAGGACTGTGGAGGCAGGGGCGGCGGTTTGGATTGCGGGGGGCCCGCCGGCAGCAACTGACTGTTCACACTGCAAATAGCCAAATAAATTACATTTTCAAAAATAAAATCGTAATAAAACTGGAAAAAATATAATATTACGAGAATACGCACAACGTATTACGCGAATACTGCACAACCGGCAAAACATAAAATAACGACCGTACATAAAATAACGAAAAATTGTAAACATAAAACCACAATAAAATAAAAATTATATCAACCAGTAAAATTATAAAACTGTCAGTCAAACAAAATAAAATTGTGCAAAAATTGCCATTGCAAGAAAACTGTTACTAAATTGTAGCGATATAAATCCAAACTGCAAATAAAATGGTAAAAAAAATTCGCACCGAAAGGCATAATCGGCAAACAGCCAAGTGATAATTGTGCAAAGAAAGTCAATCCCTAATTCAATCCCTAATTACCTATAAAGGATTTCAATGACAAGCTAACAACGAATACAGCTATAAAATAGTTAGTAAAAATTTAAAGCAATTATTTCTATTCATTTAAAATTGGCTAACGATTAGAAAACAAAATCACAGAAAAATAAAATTAAACAAAGAAGTGGAAGAATTATTTGGAAAAATAGATCAGCGACAATTCTGACCTACAAATGAGAAAACAGGAAAAAAATACGACGAAAATCAAAAGCAAATAAAGAAAATCGCGATTTCAAAAGCAAACAACAGTAATTCAACAACAATTATTTTCGTAATAAAATCGGAAGCGTACGAATTCTCCATTTCGGCGTTGGCGCGGTTCTGGCGCGTGACAATCTCCTCCAACACATTATCGTCGTCCTCCGAGGTCTCCTCACTATCCGACGCCCCGCTCTCGTCACTGCTGGACTCCGAACTGGAAGCCAGCCGGCGACTGCTGCGACCGGCCGGCGGGGCGCCCGCCCCCGGTGGCGCCTCGTCCGGGCTGAGGTCGTCGTTGTCCTCGTCGCTGGAGACGCTGATGACGCGGCGCATCTGTTTGGTCTGCTTGGGCGGCGGCGGTGTCTCGTTGTCGCTGTCGCGACGACTCCCAGCCAGGCTGCTCTCGCTTGTGGACGCCGCGCCCAGCCGCGCCAGCTGCGCCGCCACGGCGTCCAGGTCCTCTACTTTCTGCACTTGCTGTTGTTGCGCTGCAAAATGCCACATAAAAACGATATAAAATTACCGTAATCTGCTGATGGGAGCGGAAAAAATCAGACAAAAAATCAAATTCCAAAATTAGTAATTTAAAACACACATTTAATAAAAGCAAAATCAAATAATAAATTATCCAACTCGAAAAATCAAAAATAAATAAGACAAAAAGGGTAAAAAATATGGAAGTGAACATTAACGGACAACAAATTAAAAACCTGAAAAATAACTGGAAAAAATCTAATCAAACAATCAAAATCGGTAAGGCTTCAGAAACGATTTATTCATAATAAATATCGAAACAAAAATCAGAACGATAACCGTAAAGCGGGATAATTATAATAGAAAGACGAAAAAAATCTAAATTCAAAACAAAGCAATGAATTATATAAATAAAAATAACGTCAACAGATATTATAACAAAGAAAGTAAATTTTGAACGAACTGTATAGCTAAAATTGACAAGAAAACTGACTTATAACATCATTACCATGATGTAATCAACTAATAAAAAACTGATTAAAAAATAATGTAGTAAAAATTTCATAAAATACCTCTAGCCGGAAGTGCCGGGATGGCCGCCGGCTGCCCCACCAACCGCATGGGGGGCTTGGTCTTCTCCGGCAGTAGCGGCGGCTCCCGCTCCCCGCCAAACTGCCCACTCTCCCGCTGCGGCCGATGCACCACCGGCTCCCGAATCTCCCGCATAATCGGCGCCTTATGCTCCCCACCCGCGCCATTACTCCGCTCCCCTCCTCCGCCCCACCCCCCTGGGGCACCAGATGCTTCTGCTGCAACTGCAGGAAGTTCTTCCGCAGCGTCGACTCACTGGGCGCCACCAACCGCGGCGCGGGAACATTGCGGGGCGCCGCCCGTTCAGGGGGCGGGGCCTCCACCGCCGGGGTGTTGTTCTCCGCCTCCTCATCACTGCCGCTGAACTGGTGGAACTCGCCCTGCAGTTCCCAGGGGGCGTCGATGACTTTGCCGCGCAGACGCTTGCACTTGTCGATGTGGTCTTTCAGCTGGATGCGGGTCTGGCGTTCGGCGGCCGCTTCGCAGCGGACGAAGGGGTGTTTTAAGAGGGTGTCGGTGGGGGGGCGTTTGTGGTAGTCCTTGACCAGGACCTGCTCGATGAAGCTGACGAATTTCTTGGACCATTTCTTCGATTTTAGACGCGGGGAGGGATTGCGCGGGATCAGGAAGAGGGCGCGCATCGGGTGCAGATCACATAATGCTGGTGGAAAAAATTGCAGCTGAACCCCACGTTTTCAGCAGAATAAAATTAATAAAATCGAAAAAAAACAAATAAATTTTTATTAACAGAAAATACACTAATTTAAATAAGTTTTAATTTTATTTAAATCGTCACACTTCAACTCTCATCATTAGCAGAATAATAACGAATAAAAAAGAAAATTATCAACAAAAAATCAATAAATAAAATATAGTACTTTGAAATACGTAATATATTTCTCATATTTATTTACAAAACAAATCGTCGCACTTTAACCCACATCTTCAGCGGAATAACAAACAAATAATAAACAGAAGTAAATAATAACAGAAACACTGTGATCACCAAAATAAATTACATTTAATTTAAAAATCAACTTCATTAATACTTATTTCTTTTATTACCAAAGAGATGCTATTTTGCAAAAGTAGCCTTTACTTACGGGGAGAAGATTCGGCCATTTCGATGGACGTGATACCCAGTGACCACAGATCGCTCTACACCAGACAAACACAAAACAAATGCGGCGTCAGTTGACGTAATCGTGAAACATTTAACCACTGCCGTGTCAGCAACGCAGTATGTGTGGAATTACGTATGGAATTACGGTAAGATTACACCATACCCGGGTGGTGGTGGACATTTCCGTATAAACACACCGTGCATAACTCGCACATAACACGTCGCAATACCGACAACAAATTACAACGATCACTCTTTCCAAATTCTAATACCATAACAAAATCAAAACATCGCAAAAATAAAAATTATCAGTATTTCTGCATGACAGCATAATTAATTATATTATACAGGGAAAAATATACCAATTTTAAATACACAACTGAAAAATCTCGACGGTACCCGTATGTCGTCAAAGGACAAATCAATAAATCACTCGCAATACGAAAAGGGATTTCAAATAACAATTTCAGACAAATAATAATCAGACGTCAATTCAAGATCAATAAATCAATAAAAAGTAGCTGTTTGAAGCGGAATTACAGGAAAAATGTATGTCAAATCAAAGACAGGTGAGCAGCAAATTTATTTAAATGCGTAAATAAATATGAATTTTAAAGAATTAATATGGACAAAAACTTGTACCTGTTAAATAAGAAAAAAATCAGTAAGAAAACCTATTTAAGAAATTATAGAAAATTATACACGCAATCGACGATACATCAACAGGGATTACAAATTACCAAAACTAAAATATGCGGTGAATTTGTGTACCAGGTTATCAAGACACATACTCGTACCAATAAAAAAAAGCCTACTGAAAAATTAATGGAAAATTATATACGAAATCGACGATAAATGAAAAAAGTAATTACAAATTTTCCAAAAACAAAATGCCAAAAACTCTGTACCCGGTTATCATAGGTTGCTCCAGGATTATCATCACAGGCAATGACTTCCGGGGCCATCCAGTAGGGCGTCTGTGTTAAATAGCCTGTATTACACCCCCGGGAATCGCAGCACCAACTGAGACCCCCCTTACCCCGATGAAGGTGTTGCGCCGTCCAATGGTGCGGTCCAGATGCGCACTGACGCCGAAGTCGACCAGCTTAACGTCGGCGTTGTCGGTCAGGAGGACGTTCTGGCCCTTGATGTCGCGGTGGATGACCTTGCTGTTGTGCAGATGACTCAGGCCGCGCAGGATCTCCCGGCAGATGTAGGCGATCCACTCCTCCTTCAGACTGCCGCCGCGGGTGGCCTTCACCAGGTCCGTCACCGAGCCGGCGCCGCAGTACTCCATTACCAGCTGCAAAACATGGATGTGGAAGGTCTGGACAATTTCTGGAAATTTTTACGATTTTTCTTTCTATCTCTGTGCTCGCCATGTTATGCATCAGCCGTTTATTTTGAATCAAATGAACATCTAACCGCTCGGAAAAAAATGCTACTGAATTAAATTAAAAACTAATTAAATAAATCTGACCAAATAAAAACAAAATTAAAGACTTAGTGTTTTGACGTTATTAAAATGCTATGAAAAATGTTTAAAATTAATATTCCTAACTGAATAAATCACGTTTTTACACCCTGAGAAAATTCTACTTAATTTAAATAAAAATTTTAGCGGAAAAATCGATGTAACGCTTTAATGTTCTCACAATGTTATTCAAAACCGTGTAACTATTTTTTAAAAAATAAATCGCAATTTAGAGCGCAGGAAGACAGCAAGAAAAATCCGATTTAATAAGAAAAAAATATAAATAATTTAAAAACCTAATTAAATTACGCAGAATAATTCATAGGTACCGGTTATAAAACGCTATCAAAAATCGCTGAAAAATTTTAATAATTAATTTAAATAAATTACTAAAACAAAGGACCACTGTAGCACAGGAAACGATGGCAATCAACACAACCGGAAGTTGCAAAACTTTTACGGTCTGTCCACTATCACGCGACATCAGAATTTAATCCGGTAGTATTTGACTATTTACACTAACGGCAGTTAAAGCGTTTCTCCTGTTCTCTACTATTGACCATCTTATTCAACCGCTCGTAAAATACGCTGCGCCATGCACACAACGCTGACATAACACCCCGGCTGCAATTAAGCAAAACACGGCGTATACTATGTATACACAGTGTTTGGCGTTAAACACGACTCCTATCATCCATCCCGTAACGGAAAAACGCCGGGGAACATCACACTGTTTGACCGGTCAACACACTAACGCTGACGGTAAACAGGAGACACACAGTGTGCTGCAAAGGGAAGACACTCGCGCTTCCCCGCAATGTGTTGCCAAGTGTGCGAAGATATATGCGGGAGCTATTAAAAGTAATCAATAATTGATGGACGCTCTGCTGGGGTGAATCTGTGTATGAGGATTGGTGAAGGGATGAGCGTGAGTGGTTTGTGCGATGCCTGGCCAGCGATAAGCACCGGGGCAGTTATGCTAATCCCGGCTGTGGCTGTGCGGGGCGCTAATGATCGTTACTGTAACGCCGATTTTCTGTGTGGAGAGATTACTGTGCTGCTTAGGGTGGAAATTCCCAGTTTTAGCGCTGTTTTCGAAATGATTCGGAATCAACGGACTCTTAATAAAACTGGAAATTAATTAACGAATTTTTAAAATGTATTGTCCGAATATTTCACGATTTTTTATCGGTTATAAACGAAGAAATAAATTTAACATTATTATTTATTGGTATATTTATCGGTATTTTCATATGTTATTCCGGAGTATTTTAATAAATCGGCATCTGTTGTTCAATTTTTCAAGAAATTCGTAAGAGACCACAAATCCATTTTAAAACTGAATTTTTACAATTATTGTCCGGATATTTTAAGATTTTTATCATTTACAAATGCAGAAATTGAATTCTAACATTATTACCTACCGATATAATTTTCGGTGTTTCTAACAGTTTTCCCGGTGTATCCGAATTTTTCAAATTTATTTTCTTAATACTTTTTCTGTAATAATCGATGAAATTAAGTACTGTAAATTTAATTTTATTCTTCACCGATAGAGCATTACTTATTTCCATGAATTATCCCATCGCGTTTGTAATTTTATTAATTATGTATCTAATTTATTCTAATTTGTTCAAATGTTTAAAATTATGTAATTCGAACTCAAACTTCCGTTTCAAACCATTGCTTACCCATAGTTGGTCGTCTTTGCCGGGCAGACTCTTCCGGATGAAGGCGCCGTAATAGGTGGCGATGTTGCGATGATGGGAATACTACGGAATAAGCAGTCGCAGTCAGTGAGCGCTATCCAAACCATCCAGAAGCGGACGCCGTGTTACATGTTCACAGAGTAAACAACGCCGCTATTTTAACGACTCATAAAACCCTATCGCTAAATATCCAAACGCCGCACGCAACCTTCTAAACTTCGAAATTCGGTATTGTTTACATTACGGTACTTCCGATCTCTGAGCACAATTTCAAAATTATACATAAATTGATGCACAAATATTTAGTTGCGAGAATTTTATTTTCGTTTGCAGAACGCTCTATTACGTCAGTCCTTCATAACCTATCAACATACACATTCCGCTTGTATAGATAAAATTTCACGAGTAATGCCGCAAAAACGTTCTGTTCATTTCTAAAGAATTCCAACAGTATTCACCGAATCGGAATTAATCAAAAATAATAATCGAGATTATTTTCATCATGTTCAGTTAGAGAACAATTAAAACCGAGTGATTTTATAATAATTTATAAAAAACATACGCCTCGTAGTGATACGTACAGCATTCTCCAATTTTCGAACAAAATTAACGAAGTTTTTTCAAAAAACCAAATTTTAAAAACATTTTTAAAATTGGCAAAAACTTTTAATTAGAAAGAAAAACCTTCCTAAAATTTATGAAGAACTTTTAAATCAAGAACCTTTACCCTTCCACTTTGAAAAGATCTTTAAAAAAACTCATTAAAAGGAAACGAACTTTAAAATTAAATAAACGATTTCAATTTAAGCAGCAAAGAACAAGAGCTATCGTTAAATTTAACTGAAGGTAAGGTAGCGTACCTTGCGGAGGAGATTGATCTCCAGCTTGATCTCCTCAATATCCTCCTCCGACAGCTCCATGATCTTGACGGCGGCCAGCTGTCCCGTCCGCATATGTCGTCCCTGCAACACACCCTTCAGCCAAACCTTTCCCCGCAGCCAACACACAGCCCTGACCCACTTTGTACACCTGCCCGTACGTCCCATTCCCCACCACCTCGATCAGCTCCAGCACCCCACTCGGATCCTGTCAACACAGTCAGTCAGTGTATTTAGATGGAGTATAGACACAGGCATACTTTGAGCGCATTGAGATCGATGTCGTCGAGGGACGTGGGGCCGCGCGTCCCTCCCACGGGCACCAGGGGGCCCCCTACCGCCATCGCCCCCGATGAATGGGCCATCCACAACACGGATCACCAGGAACAAGGTAAAATAGAGATTATGATGTATGCATTTGGGAAATACACAAGGGATTGATTTGTGAGCAATGCAGATTTGGGGGGTCCTTGGAATGAGGAGAGATAAACAATCACAGTTCTCCACTCGAGCTGTATTAATCGCTTTTTGGCCTGCGCTGCGTAGTGCGTACTGCAGTGTGTTATAACACTCGCGTACAGAAGCAGCAGCGAGTTCAGCACAGAGACAGAGAGACAGCGCTGAAGTCTGAACCAGGATATCCAAACAAAGTCGACAGAGCCGATGATACACACAGTCACACACAGGCCAGCAGCGTGCCACGGTCTGACTCATGCTGGCTGATTAGGTAGGTCGTGGCGGGCGGTTCGGTGCAGACTATGAATTATGGCAATTCATTCACATCACTTCCGATCAGCTGGCCTTTCTCCTCAGTCCGCACTACCATGTCTGCATTTTGTATTTTTTAGGAAATAAGCAATCTTGGTTTTTTCAGTTTCGCTCATTTTTTACAGTTGATTGGTTTGAGAAATTTCAGAATTTTTAGAGCTTCAGTTCAGCAACCCCACTTCATTATACTGCATTTTCTGTTGCTTTTATTTGTTCCCCGTTTGCGAATTGGCCGCACAGTGTAGTCTCTGCAGCTGCTACGCAGAACAGTAGCCTGCAGTTATGGCGCAGATTTCATCTTCATCTGCCAGTTCTGAGCGTCGTGGTTCTCTCCAGCTACTGTCCAGTCGTTGGAAGAGTCTTCTATCCAACAGAGAGCTGACGGATGTGGAATTCGCCGTGGGACGCCAGTGTGGCGCAGTGAAGACGTTCCGCGCACACAAGTCAGTAGACTCCGCACCTTAATCGACAGCGTCCCACAGGCCACACTATACTGCTTCTCTCACAGGAAAAATAAAACAAGGTGGTTTGTACGGCAGGTTAGTGCTGAGCGTCAGCAGCGACGTCTTCCAGGCCATGTTCGACGGGAGCTGGGCCGAGCGCTGTGCCAGTGTCATCCAGATCCCCGAGATCCCTCCAGACGCGTTCGCCAACATGCTCAGGTACGTCTGGTGCACGACGACATGTTTAAACGTGTTTGGCCAGCATCTCACACATATGGGACTTTGTTTACTGCAGCAAATACGTCTAATATCCCAGCACGTTTTTCTGAATTGCATCCGTTGGAATGCATTGTAGGGTGATTTTTGCGTTTGCAGTTACATGTACACGGATACGATGGAGCATCTCGCAGCGGAGAACGCGGTGCAGACACTGTACTGCGCTGACAAGTACGATTTGCCCTGGCTGGCCGAGCTGTGCACGAATTTTATCCTGGATCATCTGACGGCGTACAACTGTTTGATTTACTTGGAACATGTACTGTGAAGTATTGTATAAGTAATACTTTAATAGGTAATCAATACTACATAATTAATGAAGTGAACAGGAACTGCGCAGCAGGTCGAATGACAGGAATATAACAGGAAGACGTATGAAGTAAAACAGTAGTTGCTAGGACAGCAACGTACACGACAACTCGTCCCCACGTATCGAAAGTGATACGAATTAAGTATCGGAATTGTAATTGTACGGGATGTAGAAACGAACTTGCATAGAATTTAGCAGTTAGGTAAGCACTTGTAATTAAGTAGCGTATTAGCGAAACCGTATAAGCAAGTATAAGAATTAATCCGTATAAATTAAAGTATTGCACTGCATTGTAAAGTGCATGTAGGAGTACGATCCCGGATCCAGGCAACCGAACTGGAACGGCAACTGGCATGTGAGTTGAAATTCATCGCATCATCCAAGTGCAGGAAATACGGTGTAAACTATACGAACCGCAGTAGCAAGGTTATCCAGATTCAAAGTGTAAGGCGCCATACGAAGGATTTAACCATTGCGTAGTCGGCTCGAATAACGGTGTAACATTGTACGATACTGTGTATTGTACTCCAGGACAGGACGTACTGTACATTCGTACATAACGCGTTCAGGTTGCTCTGTGGATTTAACGGAAGGAGGTAAACAAGGATACGTACTGTACGGAATAACAGGACTGCAGAGTAAACGCTGCATAGAACAATGGTGAACGCAGGCCATGACAACAACCAACAGCAACTGAATGGAATGACGCGTAGGGCGAAATAGCGCTCTGCAAGGTCATCAGGGCGTTACGAAGAATTTGCTCCATCCAGATCATCCAGAAGGACGATTGGCATTACGTTGAGCAGTTTGGCGATGCACGTTCAGGCAGCTACACGGAACGAAGATCCGTTGGTAGCGCTATGGTACTGGCAGGGCGGTACCAGCAGTAAATAATATCCACCAGCATCGTGGGGAAAAGGGTGGCAGAGCATCCGCTGCCGAACAGGTGTGGGGCGGTGGCAGACTGCCAGGCGAGTGCATGCGGAATCGGCATCGGATCCCTCCCATGGCAGATTATGACCGTAGAGTGTAGTCGTAGGAGAAATTAGTAAGCATGAATTCGAATTCTTCACGCCAATGTGAAGTATTGTATAAGTAATACTTTAATAGGTAATCAATACTACATAATTAATGAAGTGAACAGGAACTGCGCAGCAGGTCGAATGACAGGAATATAACAGGAAGACGTATGAAGTAAAACAGTAGTTGCTAGGACAGCAACGTACACGACATGTACGTATAAAACGAGGTATTTAGGATAAATTATATAGTATATAATTTATTAAGCTGGAAAAAGATTAAATTCTGGGACTTTGCTCTTCCCAGTCTGCGGCGCAACGGCTCATGTACTGTACTTGTTCCTGACAGGCGCTCCGCTGGACTCCGCCGTGTGATGCCGTGCTGGAGAAATGCTGGGACATTGTGGATGCATCCAGCGCTATTGTCTTGCAGTCGGAGCATCTCCCCGCCCTGGACCGGAGCACGCTGGAGATGATTCTGCGGCGCAACACTCTGTCGGCGGACGAGAACACCATTTGCACGGCGGTCGACAAGTGAGTGCCGTCGTGTTTGCGTATGACAATCATTTTAACGGGTATACGCAGAGGTCTATTTTAAGAGATAACTTGCGTGCGACCAACCGTAGGATAAAGAAACCGAAGACACTAGTTAGAAGAGACGTATGCATTAGATTTTATACTGCGCGACCCATTATTCGGTTTAAAATTGAAAGAATTAACATTAATTACTAGTACCGTACTACGAGTAAATGCTCTATGCTTTCTGATTGCTTGTTGTGAAACCGTCATGATGATGGGTTGTGGACATGTAGGTGGGCGACGGCGGCGTGTGCGCGCAACAATCTGGACGCGTCGGCCGCGAACCGGCGTCAGATGCTGGGCGATGCCCTGCTCCTCCTCCGCTTTCCCCTGCTGACCGACGCCGCACTGGCGGATGGTCCCGTTCAGGTAGGACATACTTCGCCGCGGCCGTAATTTGAAGTACATGCGCGCCACACGGTGTGGCTTCGTTATGCGTATACTTTATGCTTTGTATGCGAGTGTGGTTCTGAACGCAAAAATATCGTCTGTTTTTGGAGAAAGTAGCTACAAGCAGTCTCCTGTTTCTTGGGAATGGGCGAATTGAGTTTTATTTATTTTTTTATGAATTTTCCCGAACCTTTTAAACATTTGGTCGGATTTTTGTGAATTTTTTATTCAATTTTTCAGTAATTCAGATTTGAAATTGCGCGATTGTGTAAAATTTAGATCCGTTTTCGTTTATATAAATTATAACTTTGTTAATTAGCAGATTAATTAATTTGGGATTAAGTAATTAAAATAATTATTCAATAATTTCTGTACGTAGTTCTCATTGATCATTAAATAATTTCTTCCATTTATTGCTTTTATGTATCTTCCGTCTCCGGGCGGAGCCGTAAAAACACAGGATTTTTGACAAAAAGGCGCCACCGATGAAACGGCGTTAAAGCTGGGTTTCTTAGCGCAGTAATTAAATTTTAAAAAATAATTTTATCGGAAACTGATAGAAATTTGCAGCAATGTTGCACTGATTAACTTCTCATGATAGAGCGAACTGTTGACCCCGGCGGAACGGGATGACATCCACCGTTACAATCACGCCTCCCCCCACCGGAAGCCGCCGCTACCCTTCCGCAGCGATCCCCGCCGGTATGCCGCGCAGATCACCAGCCAGTCCGTCTTCAAGCTGTACGAGAAGGTCTTCGTCAAAGGCGCCGCGGGCGGCTGGTATCCGGCGCAGGTGCTCGGTGACCGGCAGCTGAACGGCACGTCCCGCGTGCCCCTCGAGTGGTACTCGCGGATGATGCAGGAAAAGACGGCGGAAGTGTCGGACGTTATCCAGGCGGCGGACATCCTCCGACGAGGGCGGCGCGTGGACGTCTTCGACGGGGAGGTGTTTGTGGAGGGGATGTATGTGGTGCGACGGGCCGGCTGGCACATCGTCATCCTGGATGGAAAGGAGCGCAGCGTGGAGTTAGCCGATTTGATTATCTCGGATAAGGAGGTCGGTGTGGAAAGCAGAGAAGGCGGCTGCTTAATAACGGATTGCATACCGCTGCTGCGTGATATTCCGTTCTTATTGCTTTTATTGCCATTTGTAAATTGTATTTCTATACTTGAAGTATGCTGTGAGATTTTTTTATGGAGCTGCTGTATTTGTTTTTTTCCTATGACATTTTATTCTGTGTGTTACCGTGTACGTGAAAAGCTGCCGCTTATTATCGGTCGGTTTTTTGGCTTTATTTTTTTATTTTTTTATATTGGAGCTGCAGTAGATTTTTTTATGCTCTGCTGAATATACCTACTTGTAAACAGTGATTAAAGTTCAGTGATGCACACGATAGCTTTATGTTGGTCAAAAGGCTAACTGCTTGCTGCTTATACAGCCTATATTGTCGGGAAGACGGGAATAGGAATGAATATTCTGTTTAACATTCCATTTTCACTGCCGAAAAGAAATAGAGAGTCGTTTCGAGATCCACCGCTCGTAATACACACGGCCGATATCTTTCAGACTGGACTGTATTCCCGCGGAAATTTGTTTCCTCTTTAATATAAATTACATTTCACTGAGAAACTTCAAACAAGAACGTAAAACAAAGGAAAACCAGGGACTTCCGGCGTTTGACACGATTACGCCCGCCCAGAGTGGCAGCGTAATGCAGTTTGCCTTGCAAACTTAAAAAATTTCCTATCCAGTTCCAGGCTATCCTATTCCTTTTTGATAAGTGGCATTACCTAAAATTTTTCTATTGCAAAGATGAAGAATAAACAACATGAAAACGATTGGATGTTGCAAATGTATTATTTAGGAGCAAATTGAAGGAAAAAGGCAGAAAGCATGGATCTGTTCATTCTGTTGTGAACTTGTGATACCGCACAGAAATATCCAACGTAAATCACCCGAACAAGGTAACTGTTAGGGCAACCGCCTGGTAGCCTGTTACGTGCACATTTGTGCACATCCGGTTGGCAAGCTGCAGGAAATGGAGACCCTTGTCACTTTCTATAAATTACGATATTTCTACATTTTACTGAGGAATTCACTCTTCTAGAATCTAGCCTTTTTGAACGGTTATGCATTCTTGGCTGGTTACTGTTTTCCTGATTCCCATCTAGAACTGTAAATTTAGCAATAATCTACCGAATCAGTTCCGTCCGAGTCGAATTTTGTAGTGTCTGTGGACTGCGCAGTTTCACGCTGAACCATGTCTCAATTATCGTACACCAGTGCAGAACGTCGAGGCACGGTTCCCCACATCGCCAGTCGGATGAAGGCTGTTCTGGCCAACGGGGAACTGAGCGACATTGAGTTTGCTGTGGGGCGCGATCATGGCGAAGCAAAGATCTTCCCAGCCCACAAGTGCGTGGTGTTTGTTTCCATCGCCAGCGCAGCAAAGCGATGCGTGCAGTATCCTTACATGTTTGGATCAAATTTGCAGGTTCGCTCTGAGCATCAGCAGCGATGTGTTCTACACCATGTTCCACGGGAGTTTGGCCAGACACAATCAGGATATCATCCAAGTCCCTGAGATCCTTCCAGAAGCCTTCGCCAACATGCTCAGGTACATCACCGCGAAGCAGAGTATCAGGGTACTGCTGTGCTTCCTTGGAACTTTAGCTGCTGAGAATGAAATCCATTCGCAACGTTAAAGGTGTTTCGCTCACTTTGCAGCTACATCTACACTGATGCGGTGGAGGATCTGAAGCCCGAGAACGTTCTGCAGACTCTTTATTGTGCTGACAAGTATGATTTGCCTTGGTTGGCCGACCGCTGCACCAGCTTCGTCCTCGAGCAGATGAAGCCTGATACCTGCCTGATGTTCTTGGAAAATGTAAATCTGCCGTCTGGGGACACAGTACTTTTTATAAAAAAGCAACCTTAAAGATCCCTAACCGACGAAATAAGATTTTAAAATTGTTTCAGTTTTTCAGCAGAACTCGGCTCAGTTTTAGACATACATACATCGGTGGCATTTTTCTCTCTTTCCCGTTGTTTTTTTATGTCGATGTTCTCGCTCATATTAGGATCTTATCCGCGTTTTCATCAATAATTTTTCTGCAGATGTGAACTCGATAAGTACTTATGTTTTTTAACTGTTTTTGAGCAGTAACGATTGAAAAGTAATTTTTAGAAATTCATGTTTTCATGCTAGTAGCTGATAATTATCGCGTCTGTAGGCGCTCCACTGGACACCCAATTGTGACGCGATTGTTGAGAAATGCTTGGATATTGTCGATGAATGCACTGTGGCCGTGCTCCAGTCGAAACAGTTTCCGGAGATCGGATTGAAGACGTTGGAGATGGTTCTGCGACGGGATACATTGTCCGCTGAGGAGAGTGTCATCTGCACCGCCGTAGACAAGTCAGTGAGCGTTACAGTACTTTTTTTGCCTTTTTTTGCCTTTTTTTGCCTTTTTTTTGCGTTACAGCCCAGTGTAAACGCTAAGCGGGTACGTAAAGAAAGAGTAGTGAGTGTTTCTGTACCCCTAATTGTGTTGCCACAGATGGACGACGGCTGCCTGCAGTCGCCAGAAACTGTATCCATCTGTTGGTTATCGCCGGAAAATGCTGGACAGTGCTCTGTTCTTGATTCGCTTTCCCCTGCTGACCGATGAACAACTGGCTGAGGGACACATCAAGGTTAGCGATTGCAATACTTCGGTGTTTTTCGCACTCAGGACGCTTTCACAATTTGGGTTCGCGTACCGGACATCAAAGGGCAAAGAGGCTCTTCTCTGTGTTGTTCCACATTAGAAAACTTGATAATCTTTATTAGTTTCGTGTAGAAGCTTGTATAAAAACACTAATTATCACGTAATTATCACCAGTTTTTGCAGTTTTTGTTCTGTGGAAAAACGTGGAGAATACATTCGATACATTCGTTCAAGGGTCTGGTGTCCCGTATCCGAAATTGCGAATGCGTAATGTGAAAGGGTCCGGAGTGCGAAAAACGTTGAATTGCCCGTAGTTATCCATAGATTACTAATCCTCAACTGTTGTTGTGTTTATCTAGAGTGCGATGTTACATCCCGAAGAAGTGTGTAAAATTTTTCTGTACAAGCATGCTGCAGCCAAAGAAGGTCTGAAGTTTTCTACTGAGCCCCGCAAGTACGTGAAGTATCGCGTTCAATGTAGCCACATGTGTGAGTCATACAAGCCCAAAGAAAAGGTCTTCATTCTATACACGAACGGCTGCTGGCATCCTGCTAGCGTCACCGCAGAGAATGTGCTGGATCCCCACCCGCCGCTGGGCATGAAGGTGGAAAAACCAGCGGGGAAATTCTCGCCAACCGAGATCGTTCGTGCTGCTGATATCTTGAAGCGTGGCCAGCCAGTGTACGCTTATGTGGAGGATGCTTTTAAAGAGGGGACCTATGGTCAACAGCGCGCTGGATTGCATACGGTTAACGTCGCCGGTCGCGAGCATTCTGTCGACTTTATGCAGCTCAAGTTCGCCGGCAAACAGGTGGACGAATGGAAGGCGGCCAAAAAGTAGTGGGGACCGTGCGTTGGAATCACATCAGTCGGTGTTGAATTACTTCAGTTTGTCGAAAAATGGGAAAAATCCGGAATGATGCTTTAGCACTTTTATGAATGATATATGATGAGATGATTATAGGACTGATTATTCCTCTTGTCAGTGCTTTTATGTTTTATCCTCTGTGCTTTTATTTTGCATTCGCATCTGTACTTTTTAGTTTGCATATATACATGGATTCAATTGATGTTTTATTCTTTTGTATAGTTATCGATGTAGTGTGTTTTGCTGTTGCGATTCACAGCCGATAATCAAAATTTGGGTATTATTTTTCTGGTAAATGGTACCATAAGAACGCGATAGACTGGTGTCGATACATCGTCTCCCATGTAATCCAACAGATTCTTAAGTTGGCGTTTTGTGCCACATACTTGGCACTACACGGGCATTTTTATTAGCGATTCATACTGGAAAATGTAATAGAAGTACAGTACAAGAGCATCAGTTAACCAAAAAAATCATAGCACCATTTCCATTCATCTAAATGAAAGGCAAAGTACACATCTTCCTTCTCTACCATGTCGCTAAATGTACCGAGAAAAGAAGCCGCATTTCCTCGCTTATAATCTCAATACCAATTCTTTGGCTTAAAAACTTTCTTGAGCGGGGGGTGCCTGTACTGTCGATAATCTTTGCATTAGTAAGTACTGTACAGTTCGGAAGAGGCTGTGTTCATTAGCACGGGCGAAGCTGGATGTCAGCACCGCTTCTTCTTACGGACCTCATTTCTGGCATACGCACCGGTGGTGTAGTGGGCACACATGAGCCTCCATTTTGACGCACGTATAAAACGAGACTGAACTGAAGTGAAAAACAGGCCTTTAACTGCGTACACGAAACACCGCATTGTTTGTCTGTGTGATGAATCTTCCTGATATTGGCAGTGATCGCTCTATTTACCAGTGTCCGATGGACGTTATACTAGTACAAGAAACAGCCTCGGCTTCGCCTCCGCGTTTCCTGGGTTCTAAACTCCTTGGCCGGTTAACGGATTGTTAACTCAGAACGGATAAATCTGAAGAGCCCGATAACAAAAATTTTATAAAAAAATGGATGTTTTGGTTTCGTGCAGTCGAACGCAATTACTTTGACTTTACAGATCATTTTTTGTTAAATTTTCTTAGCGAAAAACCATCCGAATCTAATCACCCACGAGAGTATCACATTACAAACTAAAAGGACGCTAAGACTGGACAGTGGTGCCAGATAGGTCATCCATTAAGAACTTAGCAGGCCCTGCTCTATTCTGCTCAGTAATATTGCAGTTTGGTCATAACGTTCACCTAACGGGCTCTGTGCACTGGATAGCTTTGGTAGCTCGGTCACCCACCTACCTAACGGGATCTATGCAAAGGCCAGTACTGGTAACTCGGTCACTAGATCACTTAACGGAGTTCGTGCACTGGACAGTAGTGGTAGCTCGGTCACGCGTTCACCTAACGGGCTCTGTGTACTGGACAGTATTGGTAGCTCGGTCACCCATCTACCTAACGGGATCTATGCACTGGACAGTATTGGTAGCTCGGTCATCCATCTACCTAACGGGATCTATGCACTGGACAGTATCGGCAGCTCGGTCACCCATCTACCTAACGGGATCTATGCACTAGACAGTATTGGTAGCTCGGTCACTAGATCACTTAGCGGAGTTTGTGCACTGGACAGTAGTGGTATCTCGGTACTCTTTCACCTAACGGGTTCTGGGCACTGGACAGTGGTGGTAGCTCGGTCACGTACTCACCTAGCGATTTTCTGACGCACTCAATCACTAGGTGAGTGACTGACCGAGCTCAACCTGTCCAGTAAGAAATATCGCTAGGTAAGGAGAAAAATCGCTAGGTGAGGATGTGACCGAGCAAGAACAAAGCCCGCTCGATGACTCACTCACCTAGAAATTCCGCTCAGTGGGCAGTAAAGGTGTTTCGGTCACTCACTTGTCTAGTGATTTTTCTTACTGGTCAGTGGTGGTAGCTCGGTCACCCACTCATCTAGAGATTCCGCTCAGCGGTCGGTGATAGTGTTTCGGTCACTCACTCGTCCAGTGATTTTTCGTATTGATTTTATAATTGATATTTTTACATTTTATATCGGTTGATTTTAAACGTGTTTCGAGCTCGGCAACACCGGCAGCAATGTTTGAATAAGGGGGGATCCATAAATTACGTACGCAGCGAACCAGGGAGGGAGGGGTCCAAAAAGCGTGACAAGCTGTGACGGCCTCGACGAACCCAGGGGGGAGGGGGTGGTCAGCTCCATATATTACGATTGAACGAACCAGGGGGGAGGGGTCAAGCAAATGTGACGGACCGCTACGAAGGGGGAGGGAGGGGTGAAAAAATCGTGGTTTTCTGCGTACGTAATTTATGGATGCCCCTTAAACGCGAGTGTTTGAATAAGTACAATAATTTATTTATTTTTCGGTTTAATTAGTGTGATAATTATGTCAATTGGTATTTTGTATTGTATCTAGGCAAATATTTCCAAGTTTCAAGGTGACCTTTAAGATGGGCTGGATCAATCTGGTCTTGATGCCGGCTTGATGCCGGCTCGATATTTTCATAAAAAAAAACACATGCCGGCCACTTCTGAACTATCCCGGATCTAATGACGTTGTCCGTTTTTCCAGAAGTTTTATGGTTATAGAGATCTCAAAACTATGGGGCGCCGCGCGTAGTATAGATCTTGTACTTAATATGTTTGTCCTTTGTCGGTGGTTGCGATGCATGCACACTTTGCAAAAGTGCGGCATCGCTTCCGGTTCATTTTGCAGACGATGACGGCGTCCGCTCTCGCTTAACTGAACCGATGAATAGAAAATTATTTTTGCAATCGTCATGCTTAGATACCGTACATTACAGCGTGGTGAAGGAATTTGTTAGTACATGAATTCGTGGACATTCACTCAAGGTGTATATTTTGTGGATATACAGTACTTTGGGAAAATAAGGCTACAGGCCTAAAAACCGGAAATCCGGTTGTTGCAGCCAGCTGCGCGATTTCGTTCCTTTCTCCGGTACCATTAACAGCGTCAGTAATTAAAACCAATGTAGAATATACAGTTATATTAGAAAATTAATGAAGCAAAACCGTTTCAAAAAGAGACTACTGTAAGGGAGCAGCAGCCACTGCAGTGGCTAGTACTAGTGGCTGTTGTACTATGTACTTTGTTACTATGGCTTACAACTGACAGGTTTACAGGAATTAGTAAGTACCAACTCCTGATGATGCAGAATGCAGCTATACTGAGCAAGATTGCAGTAATGGAGTGTCGCAATTCCAAGGCCGGATATTAGCGGAAGTCTGGCTTCCGGAGTTTCATCTGGAGACTGGAAACATTGGGGTGGCGACTTCTTCCAGATTCTGGGACTTTGCTCTTCCCAGTCTGCGGCGCAACGGCTCAAGTACTGTACTTGTTCATGACAGGCGCTCCGCTGGACTCCGCAGTGTGATGCGGTGCTGGAGAAATGCTGGGACATTGTGGATGCATCCAGCTATTGTCTGCCAGTCGGAGCATTTGCCCGCCCTGGACCGGAGCACGCTGGAGATGATTCTGCGGCGCAACACACTGTCGGCGGACGAGAACACCATTTGCACGGCGGTCGACAAGTGAGTGCCGTCGTGTTCGCGTATGACAATCGTTTTTAGCTACTGTACGCAGAGGTCTGTTTTAAGAGATAACTTGAGTACGACCAACCGTAGGATAAAGAAACCGAAGACACTACTGTAGTTAGAAGAGGCGTATGCATTAGATTTTATATTGCGCGACCCATTATTCGGTTTAATATTGAAAAAATGAAAATTAACATTGCTACTAGTCTACTATCGTACTACGAGTAAAATGCCTTATGCTTTCTGATTGCTTCTTGTGAAACCGTTATGATGATGGGTTGTGGACATATAGGTGGGCGACGGCGGCGTGTGCGCGCAATAATCTGGACGCGTCGGGTGTCAACCGGCGCCAGATGCTGGGCGATGCCCTGTTCCTCCTCCGCTTTCCCCTGCTGACCGACGCCGAGCTGGCGGATGGTCCCGTTCAGGTAGGACATTCTTCGCTGCGACCGTAATTCGAAGTACAGTACATGCGCGCCGCACGGTGTGGCTTCGTTATTCGTGTTACGTGCACAACTGTGCACATCCGGTTGCAAAGCTGCAGGAAATCGAGACCTTGTCAGTTGTCAACTTGTCACTACTTTCTATAAATTACGATATTTCTACATTTTACTGAGGAATTCACTCTTCTACTCACGACTTCTAGAATCTAGCCTTTTTTTGCACGGTAATTTATTCTTTGCTGGTTTATACTGTTTGATAGATTCCCATTTTAAACTGTAAATTCAGCAATAATCTACCGAGTCAATTCCGCCCGAGTAGGATTTTGCTGTATTTGTCATCCTGGGCAGTTTCCCGCGGGCCGCTGCATCATGTCTCAATCGTCGTTTATCAGTGCAGAACGTCGAGGCGCAGTTCCTCACATCGCCAGTCGGATGAAGGCTGTTCTGGCCAACGCAGAGCTGAGCGACATTGAGTTTGCTGTGGGCCGCGAGCATGGCGAAGCAAAGATCTTCCCAGCCCACAAGTACGAGATGCTCTTCTCCACTCAACAGTGCAGTAAAGCGACGTTTGTCCTGTCCTGACATGCTTGAGCTGGTGTATTTGCAGGTTCGCTCTGAGTATCAGCAGCGATGTGTTCTACACCATGTTCCACGGGAGTTTAGCCAAGAACAATCTGGATATCATCCAAGTCCCGGAAATCCTTCCCGAAGCCTTCGCCAACATGCTCAGGTACCTTAGCGCGAAGCAGAGTGTCAGGGTATTGCTGTGCCTCCTTGGAACTTTTAGCTGCTAAGAATGAAATCCACTCGCCAACTTCAACGGTATTTTCGCTCCCTTTGCAGCTACATCTACACTGATTCGGTGGAGAATCTGCAGCCCGAGAACGTTCTGCAGACTCTGTACTGCGCGGACAAGTATGATTTGCCCTGGTTGGCCGACCGCTGCACTAGCTTCATCCTCGAGCAGATGAAGCCTGATACCTGCCTGATGTTTCTGGAAAATGTAAGTGTACAGACGTTAAACATCCCAAGATTCACTAGCATAAACTGACTGAATGGAAAATTCACTTTAAATGTTTCTCAGTGAAACACAAATTTTCGGTCTCTACTGCAGCTTTTTGTATTTTGGTATTTTGTCTTGCTCTGTTTATCTGCATTTTCGTTGTGCTTTTTTTAAGTGGATCTGAAATGGAGCGGTGTCAGGGTTTTTCTTTTTCGGTTCTTCAATGTAATACTCCCTTTCAACTGTTATTTTACACGTTTTACTTAGCTCATATTCTGGTTTCTGTTTGTCGACCGACTTCCGTAAGGGAATAAGTTCATATTGCGGTTCTGTGTATGTAGGCGCTTCGCTGGACGCCCGACTGTGACTGGATTGTGGAGAAGTGCCTGGATGTTGTGGACGAGTCGAGTATGGCGGTGTTGCAGTCCAAACAGTTTTCCGAAATCGGACAGAAGACGCTGGAGATGATCCTGCGACGGGATACACTGTCGGCTGACGAGAATGTTATCTGCGGCGCCGTGGACAAGTAAGTGAGCGCTGCATCGCTTCGCTAACACGTCAAACAGGCAGAAACATAGGTGCATCATTTACTGACATCTAGTTGCTAGCAAATACAGAAAATCTGTCAATAACCGATGTTCTTGTTACTCCAACTGTGTTGGCGTAGATGGGCGGTGGCTGCCTGCACTCGCCAAAATAAGCCTCATTCCGCTGCAAACCGCCGACAAGTGCTGGGCGACGCTCTCTTCCTCATCCGATTCCCACTGCTGACCGATGAGCAATTGACCAAGGGACAAATAAAGGTTAGAGTATCCACCGTGGTACTGATTCTTAATCGGATTACGAAATAGTGAGTAAATACCACGTTCAATAAAACTAGGAAAGTGCTCTCGCTTTTGGCGGGCACTGCATGACCGAAGCGTATCAGGATTAGATAATTCGCATTAGGTCGTTGGCGGTAGGAGTCCATTATACGATGTTTACAATTATCGATTTAGAACTATTTGCAGTAAGTACTTTGGCTTCTGCAGAGCTGCCGCAAATTAGTAAAGTGACTGTAAAATTTGATGCAGCTCTGCAGGATAAAGTACTGTAAATAGTTCCAAATACGATATTTCGAAGTCTGAGTTTCCGGGCGGTTTTACCGGTTATAGCACTTTGCTGTACTCTGCAACATCCACTTTACTAAGGTAGACGTTTAAAAGTACATAGAAAATCTATAACCGGTAAAACCGCCCGGACAGATGAACATTTGGTTGTTCCTAAACTGCGTAAATTTGCTCTGCCAAGTTCTTTAGGTATGACGGTTCAATGTTATTCATGCCGGACTCACCATTTTGAATCTCAGACAATTAATGTGTTCCTTACTGCCAAACACATCTATCAAGTTTTCGGTAACAATGATTCTCATTTCGCACGAATAATTTTAATCAAAAGTAGTTTTCCTCAAATAAGATTAATTTTCGATGAACTTTTTTTTTCGTCGTGGTGATGCATTGTTAACGCTTGGGCAGTTTAGGTATTCAACGGTAAGGTAATACATTAATGTAAAAACCACGATTTCCGTTTCGTGTTTCATCATTCTTGCCGAAGGTTGCCTGTTTGACGATGGGCAGGTACAGGAGACGGTCTGGAAAGAGATTTTGAAGGTCATCTCTTACAGTCACAGTGGCAAATTTTGAAAATCCCCTCTAAGGGCAGCACCCTTGGACCACAGTACGAAGAAAGTTCTTTTGACCCAGCGGATGGCTGTGCCATTGTAAGGCAGCCGTTTCAAAATTCTATCTACATAGTATCACAAAAACGGCAACTGGTATAATTTTGCCTTGCTTTAATTTCGCCAAATACAATACATCGACCATCGTTTGAGTTTTTTCGCACCAGACCAGGTAGTGCTTTATCATCGAGCGGCTAAAGTATTCAAAAGCAATTTTAGCAAATTGAGCGATTTGGGAAAAATGCGGCAGTTTGCAACAGCCGTCTCGTTGACGGACTACGGAACGGCTATTGCCATAATCTGGCCATTGATATTTCTGCTGCCCAATTTTGCTCAAATTGTCTGTATTTGAATGGTTATAATTCATAGTATTGTATACAGTTTGTAAATATGTATAGCAAAGTAACCAAAGGGCATCGGTACCAGACAAATGACACCACGGCTGGCGATAGCCGTGGCCCGTGAGTATAAACGGCCACTGAGCCCTTTCTGTTTTGTATGTGGTGACCGACGGACGGATACCATCGGTTGCGAGTTTATACGGTCACGTCGCATGTGTACGCAGACTGCAGACGGTAACAAATACCACCGTTCATATGTGTGCATTCGGTGGCGGTGACCAATGTACTGTCATTACAATTCATATGTAGCGCGAGAATAAACGGCCACTGTGCCTTTTCACTTTTGATGCGGTGACCGACGGACGGATACCACCAGAATATATAAGGTGGGTGTATATACGGCCACGGCGCATGTGGGAATTTGATAGAAAAGGCAACTGCGCACGTGTGAATTACGTTGCGGTGAATTACGTTGCGGTGACCGACGGACACCATAGTTTGCTTGCGGCTTGAGTATATACGGCCAGCGTGCATACGTGCATTTGATACTAAACCCGCGCATTTATGCATTAAGTGGCGGTGACCGACGGACACCATAGTTTGCTTGCGGCTCGAGTATATACGGTCAGCGCGCATACGTGCATTTGATAATAAACCTGCGCATGTGTGCATTAAGTGGCGGTGACCGACGGACACCACTTTTTTCATAAACGCTGAACATAGAAGACCTTCGCTACGCTTCGGTCGATTATGTAGATAATACTGTTTGTTATTTAGTGCGCTACGCTGCTTCACGAAGAAATATACCGGATTTACTTATTCAAGCATGGTGCTGCCAAAGAAGGCCTGCAGTTTCCCATAAAGCCCCGGAAATACGTGACCCATGAGTTTCGCGTCGCTTCCATGGACGACTCCAGTTCATACAAGTATCTGTCGTGCAAGCCGAGGGAAAAGATTTTCATTCTGTACACGAGCGGATACTGGCATCCGGCAGTAGTTTCCGGTGAGAGCAAGCTGGATCCCAGTCCACCGTCTGGCTTGAAGATGGAAATACCAGTGGGAAAGTTCGCCTTGCCAAACCAGATTGCTTGTGCTGTGGATCTTCTGAAGCGTGGACAGCAGCTGTTTGCTTTCGTGGAGGGTGCCTTTAAAGAAGCGACATATGGTCAGCTGCGCGCTGGACGGCATACAGTGAACGTCGCCGGCCGTGAATACAATGTGGACTTTATGCAGCTCAAGTTCTCCGGCAAGCAGATTGAACAGTGGAAGGCGGCCAAAAAGTAGTGGGGGACGTGCGTGGGAATCGGATTACTCGGTGGTAAATTGCTTCAGTTTGTCGGAAAAATCCGGAATGATGTTTTAGGTAGCACTTTCATGGATGGTATACATATGATGAAATGATTACGGAACTGATTATTGCTCTTGTCATTGCTTTTATTTTTTATCCTTTGTGCTTTTATTTTGCATTCGCCTCTGTACTTTTTTAGTTTGTATACCTACATGCATTCCATTACTGCTTTGTTCTTTTGTATAGTTATCGATGTAGTGTGTGTTGATGTTACAATTCACAGCAGAGAATCAAAATTTAGGTGTTATTTTTTTGAAGTGACTAACGGGTACCATAAGAACGCGGTAGAGTGGTGTCGGTAGATCGTCTCCCTTGTAATCAAACAGATTCCTACCTTGACGTTTTGTTGCCCATACTCTGCATTAATACTGTACAATCAGAAAGTGACTGTGTTCATAAGCATGCTATATCTATATACAGACTGTACATGTAGTAGAAGTATACATACTTCTGTGTTTGTCGGTGGTTGCAGTTGCATTGACACTATATACCAGTAGTATTTGCACAAGTTCGACATTACTTCCGGTTCTTTTTGGACATTATATGCCGGCTTTCTGTTCTCGATCGCAAAATGTACCGAGAACAGAAACTGCATGTCCTCGCTGCAGTTGCGTATACGAAACACCGTTTTATTTTTCTGTGTGCTGAATCTTCCTGATATCGGCAAGATCACTATATCCACCGATGTCCGAAGGACGTTGTACTTAATATATATGTTTGTCCTTTGTCGGTGGTTGCCCATTTAACTGGATGCAAGCACACTTTGCAAAAGTGCGGCATTACTTCCCGTTCTTTTTGGAGACTATGACGGCGTCCACTCTCGCTAAACTAAGCCGATGCATCAGAAAATTATTTTTGCAGTCATTATTTTTGCAATTATTTTTGCAGAAAATTATTTTTGCTTAGTCAGCTTAGATAACGTACATCACACCGATTACAGCATGGTGAAGGAATTCGGTAGTACCGAGTACGAGTACATGAATTCGTGGATATTCGCTCAAGGTCTATATTTTGTGGTTCTACTTTGGGAAAATAAGGCCACTGGCCCACAAACCGGAAATCCGGTGGCTACAATCAGCTGCGCGATTTAATTCCCTTCTCAGGCACCATTGACAGCATCAGTAATTAAAATCAATGTAGGCTATTCAGTTATATTAGAAAATTAATAATGCAAGCCTGTTTTAAAAAGGGCGACCACTGTAAGTGTGCAGCACATAGACGCGTATAATAACGTACAGACGGTACAGTATCCAGAGGATTGAAAAACAGTAGCTACAGTACTGTGTTCAGTGTTACTGACATTACCGTGGCGGGCTCGATAGGTTTGCAGCGCACAGCAACAGTTTAAATTGTCAGATGGATGCATGACAAGGCTAAATTTAACACGGCATTTATTGTTAATAAAGCCATGGTTAGTCCGAAGGCTGCGAGCAGCAAGATTATTTGGAACCGGTTCCAAGGTTGGAAGCGGAAGTTTAGTTTTCGGAGTTTCGCCTGGAAAGTGCAAACATTGTGGTGGCGATAACTTCTTCCAGATTCACAATTGACAGATCCCGCGTGTATCTCTCACATGGTACATTGGCCCTGGGTTCGAAATACCGCCAGCTACTGGGCAGTTGTTAACATTAATGGCGATTTCTCGATAGCAGACATACTTCAGGCTTCGACTTAGGCTCTTGACTTGCTTCGCGCCACTATCTCCCGGTGACTGGACACTTATTCGGACGTGGGAGTTTTTGCCGTCTGTACTTGAATATAGCGATAAGCTCATCCAGGCCTACCCGTACAAAAATAGCCTTAAAGGCCCTTAATATAAGCGTATCCTACTAACCTTGTGCAACCACAAAATCCAACCATTTTCCACTGGCAAGTTTCTAAGCCAAACGACGTACAGTGAAAAACTTGACACAAATTACTTAGCATATTTTCAAGGTGTCCACTCCATTCACAACTTTCTGCACCACCTTTTCTCCGTAAAGTGCCTTTTGCGCACACTACCTTCTGTACCTTTCACTCCGTTCACCACGTTTTGTTGTTTTTGCCGCCGCTCCTGACGATTTTAACGTTCACAAGTCCAATTCTCATGCCGGCCGTTATCGGCACGCCGGCACGGGAATAGCGCTTGTAAACGTCAGTAGTTGCCGGTAGGTTGCGCAATCGACGTGGCGTAGCACAGTACATGGATGGTTCCTATCATCCTTTCCTGATGAAATACGTTTCTGTAGGATAAGTGGTTGTAAATCAGCAAATAAATAAACTTGGAAAATGCAGCAGACTGTGCACTCCTAGACCGGAGCACAGCGCGAATACGGAAGGCGGCTATAAAGCTCGTTTCAAGGTGCATAATAACAAAGGAGTGATGTGTGCATTCGACATGTGGCATAGGTAGCGCTTGTAACACCGATATACAGTGGATATCAAAAAGGTAACCACAATTACACTTGTGTAACCACAATTACAAAAACGCACGCATATGGGCACTTAACTGTTCTCAAGCAGCCACTTCCGGCTGGCAATCGGCCGCCGACTAATAAAAACAAATTTTGTCGGCCGTATGTTGTCGTTCGTGCTCCAGCAGTTATGGTTTTAATTTTGTAATGGTTTGGTTATTCTTTTCTTCCGGTTGGGCATTGTTTGCATAGAATGGCGTAAAATGGCATCCGGAAAGTATACCGATGTAGATCTAGTGAAAGCGCTTTTCAGACTGTATGCAAAAGAGAAGTGTTAAGTAGGGAAATATTGTTCATGGCTAACAAACTGGCCGTCACGGACCGACTGTGGCATTTTTTTGAAGTCCACTGTGCTTCCTTATTCCTGAACTTCTGTTACACATTGTTCCAACGATCCACAGCACCAATATTTTGCAAAACTGCAGCAGGGCATCTCTTCACGAGAATGCTGTTCGACGGTACGTGCCTGTGGGCTGATCGAGTAGATTGTGGTGCGCTGTTCGGCGCCTCTGGGAATGACATGCTGTGGCAAGTCATACATTTGACTTGCCAAAAGAATAGCTGTCTCTGTGTCATCCCAGCTCCCATCATGACATCGGCTTTCACAATTTTGAATTTTCTACAACTGCTTCAGCTTGTAGATTTGATCGTCGAGTCTTTAATCGGGGTTCCAGAACTCCCATATTAGCTTCCAGAATAGGACCTCGGCAGAGTTACACAACCACATCCAGAATACTGCCGTATATTGGATATTTCCTCTCTTTATTTGTTGACTGCGAGTCTGCGACTACAACAGCTTGTTTATGCAGTAATTGCTTGAATCGGGGCAGGATACCTGCAAGTGCCATCATGGCGCAGCGATCCGACTCGTGTGTAAGTTCCGAACGTCGCGGTGCACTGCCTCTGACGTCCCGTCGGTGGAAAAATGTTCTGGCCAACAGCGAGCTGACGGATGTGGAATTCGCCGTCGGCCGCCAATGTGGTGAAGTGAAGCTCCTCCGCGCACACAAGCCAGTACTCGTCTGCAACGCGTTCAAGGAGTTTCCGCTGCAGAAGCGTTGAACGTCGTGGTGTTTTCTACGATAGATTGGCGCTGAGCGTCGGCAGCGATGTTTTCCATGCCATGTTCTACGGGAGCTTGGTCGAGCTCACGGACAAACCCATCGATATTCCCGATATCCCTCCCGATGCTTTCACCAATATGCTCAGGTGGGGCGACGTGCGAACATGTTGTAACGCTTGTTAGCCTTTAAACAGATCATATTGTATCGTTTTAGCTACAATGTACGACAAAAAGAGGTTGAACCGATCAGTCGGTCCGCGGTTCAAAATAACCTCGCAACGACACGCCACCACTAAAACTTGGACGCTTACTGACTACTTTCAGACGCTCGCGCTCCGTGAATATCAAAGTGCAGCTATACTAGTTGCATATCAAAAGGTGTAGAAACAAATTTTAAACTTTTTGATACTAAACCTGTGGCTGTTTATGGCGAACAGCACAAATTCTAGCCATTTTGCTTTCTCGTAGGCACAGCATAGGATCTGTGCGCATAACCGTTTGGCTTGCAATCAATGCTTAAGTCTATGGGAAAGCAAAATGGCTAGAATTTGTGCGGTTCGCCATAAACCGCCACAGGTTTAGTATCAAAAAGTTTAAAATTTGTTTCACCTTTGATATGCAACTAATAGCTGCATTGATATTCACGGAGCGCGAGCGTCTGAAAGTAGTCAGTAAGCGTCCAAGTTTTAGTGGTGGCGTGTCGTTGCGAGGTTATTTTGAACCGCGGACCGACTGATCGGTTCAACCTCTTTTTGTCGTACATTGTATATCTACACTGATTCGGTGGAGAATCTGCAATCAGAGAACGTTCTTCAGACCCTGTACTGCGCTGAGAAATATGATTTACCGTGGTTGGCGAAGATCTGCACTGACTTCGTCCTCGTTCAGTTGAAGCCCGACAACTGTTTGACGTACCTGGAAAATGTAAGGGCCTTTAACACACCACCTTACAGCTGGAATCGTGTTTTATTCTACGTGTTTTTAGGCCGTACGCTGGGTCCCGGATTGTTCTATTGCGATTGAGAGATGTCTGAATTTGGTCGACGAATTCTGCGCGGCCGTTCTGCAATCGGATTACTGGCCGAAACTGGAACGGACCACGCTGGAGACGGTTTTGCAGCGTGATACTGTGTCGGCAGAAGAGAATGTTATCTACTTGGCTGTTGAGAAGTAAGCAACGGAAGAACAACACCGTTTTGCCGTAATTGTCGAATTCGCCCTTCTTTGGTACAAAAACTCAAACGTCATCGAGAAACAGCTTATTCCAGGGACGGGGTGGCCCTAGTTTTTTTAAAAACCAAGCTTTGGATAGGAAGGGGGTGTTATTTTTCCTGTCAACTGCGCATTCCCTTAAACTAAATTTAGCGCAGCAGTTTCAGTTACTTAACTTTCGTTTTACATTCTTATACCCGTTTCTTGCGTTGTACAGTGTTCAGTGTTTCTGAGCGCATAAAACTGTTCAATCATTAACGTTCCCTGAGAGTTAATTTTGGGGTTTGGGTAAACTTTTACAACGGGTAAGAGCGGAGGTTTGCTTTTGCGAAAGGTGCAAATTCGATAATCACGGTATTTAGTAGCTTGGTTAGTGATGCACGCCACCGGCCGTGCTCCTACATTTTTTGGCTGTTATACGGTGCATATTGATATCGATAATTGTTGTTTCAGATGGGCGGCCGCGGCATGCGCGCGCAACAACCTGGACACATCCGCTGCTAACCGCCGTGAGATGTTGGGACCGGCCTTGTCGCTAGTACGATTTCCGCTACTCACGGACGCCCAGTTGGCTGACGGTCCTATTGAGGTAAGATGCTGTTTCAGTCGCGGTACAGTTAAATAACAACGTGCTGCTGACCAATAAAATGGTATAGAGTGGATTGCTGTTATTGAACGAACTGCGCGACATCTACGTGCACAAGCACACCACGAAGCTGGCCAAGCAGCCCGCGGCCTTTCGCACGGATCCGCGTGTGTATTCAGTCCACCGCACCGACCAGCCCGCCTTTAAACATCGGGAGAAAGTCTTCGTCAGATGCCCGGGTGGAGTCGGCTGGTACCCGGCGAAGGTGATGGGGATGCAGGATGCGCGGTTTGTCTTGGAATGGTACTCGCAGCTGATGAAGGAGAAGACGGCCCCGCCGGAGGATATCATCCGGGCCGCGGATATCCTGAAACGCGGTCGGAGCGTTGAGGCCTTCGACGGCAGTGTCTTCGTGGAGGGGACGTATGGGACGCGACGCGCGGCGCGGCACATCGTCAATCTGGCGGGCCGCGAGCGCAGCGCTGAATTCGCTGAACTGATCATCCCGGAGAAGGAAGCTGAGCTATGGAAAGCGCAGACTACTGCTTCTGCCAATTAACTGATATCTGTTGATTCATTTTTCCAGTCAGAGATCGCCCAGGGATCGTGCCTGCCGGCTTTGCGGGATGGGTGTTATGTTAAGGTTGTGATTGGTGTGTTGATTTTGCATTTTTGCTTTCATATTTTTCTAAGTCAATCTAAATGTGTATTTATTTATATTTTTTTGTATTAGCTTTTATTTTTCATATGCATGACAACTGTGTCTTCTTGTCAGATTATTTTGTAAGCAGTCAGGTTCTGTGAGGAAGAGCAGACTTTGCTCTGCTGACTATACGCTTTTATTTATGCAGACAACGTAAACCTTTAAAAAGTTGAATTATCATCCTTTCGGGAGGCAGAAAAGCCTTCTTTAAGTTATAGACAATAACCACCGAAACATATGACATGGGATACGTTCAGGATAAGCTGTATCTGAATGGTCGAAACGCTCCGATCACTGGGACTGACGGGATCTGAAACTCTGACGCCTAATACTTCTCGGTGGCAAAAGATTACTCGCGAGAATTAGCGATGTAAAGGCAGAGTTGTGGTGGGCTGTTACGTACAGTCGTACACACTTGGTGATCACCAAGTGGAGGGACTGCCTGCCAAATACAGGCCAAGCAAATGACAGGTCTCACTCTGCTGTATAGGAGAACTGGACAGTACTTCTACAGAAATTACTGAACATTGACCAAGGCAGTATCTTGTAACTGTGTATTTCTTATTTTGAGCTTTTTCCGTTTGCCAGCAGTAAATTTACGCTTTCCTTTGTACACTGTTATGCTATTTCAATTTTATCTTTGGAAATTCCAAAGGAGTTCAGTACAGAGTAGGTAGGAATTAGGATCAGTGGTGTCGGAGTCCCTCTCGAGTCTCGGCCAAGCTGGATTTAACCTGTTTCGTTGTTTGTGCAGCAAAACAAAGTTTGTAAGTAGCTGGATCATGTCTCAGTCGTCGTTTACAACGTCTACGAGTGGTGCAGAGCGTCGAGGCGCAGTTCCACAGATCGCCAGTCGGATGAAGGCTGTTTTGGCTTGTGCGGAGCTCAGCGATATTGCATTTTCCGTGGGTGGCGATCATGGATGCGCCAAAATCTTCCCAGCGCACAAGTAAGTGCTGCTTTTTTTCATTTGATAAAGCAGCGAAGCGATGCTTGTTTTGCTCTTGTATGATCTACCGTATTTTGACGTTGCAGGTTCGCTCTGAGCATTAGCAGCGATGTCTTCTACACTATGTTTTACGGAACCTTGGCCAAACACAATCTAGATGTCATCCAAATCCCTGATATTCTTCCAACAGCCTTTGCAAACATGCTCAGGTGAAGTACCGAAAACAGAGAACTGTTGCTCTTGTACTTGATGGTAATGAAGTTAACCTATGGATGGTTACCTGAAGAAGTTAACCTATGGATGGTTAACCTATGGCGACGGAAGTACGCAGGTTTAGGAAACCGATACTCCTTCTATCCTTAGTGGTTGAAACGTTTGGCGTTTTCGGTCCAGCTTTTAACGTAGTGTGCCTGCGCTTGCACTTCTTGTTACTTTGACGGCTATTGCCTATTAAAATTTTATGGATGGTTACCTATGGATGGTTACCTACTTGATGGTTACCTACTTGATGGTTACCTGAAGAAGTTAACCTATGGATGGTTATCTATGGATGGTTACCTACTTGATGGTTACCTGAAGTTAACCTGTTTTTCTATACAGATATACCTCCACTGCCTATTCCCACCACCGAACTATTTTTCACTTCCACACCATGCACCGACACCTCCGGACAGCCATCCAATCCAAATGGAAACTATTATTTGCTGAAGACGGATAGTGTCTTTGCCTTTTGTACGCACGAGTACGGCAGATAGCCGTTTTACGAACATCACTGACCGTTGCATATTGTCTTCACTTTCAGCTACATCTACACTGATGCAGTGGAGAATCTCACTCCCGAGAACGTTATTCAGACCATGTACTGCGCAGACAAGTATGATTTGCCCTGGCTAGCGGAACGCTGCACCAGCTTCGTCCTCGAGAAAATAACGCCTGATACCTGCCTGATGTTTCTCGAAAACGTGAGTCTACCGACAAAAAATAAAAAAGTTTTTATTTTATTTCCTTCTGCTTGCTGGTAACGAAGTTGACCCATGGAAACTGTTACACTATTTGCTGAAGACGGATAGTATCTTTGCCGACCGTATCTCTACCGACAAAAAATAAGGAAGTTTTTATTTTTAAAACATGCGAATTGTGAAATGTACAGCTGGCATCGACAGCATAGGAACAAAGCATATGAACATTTTTGTTAGAATAAATGAGTGTAACCGTTACTAATGTCTGTTACTCATGTTGGCACCCAGCCCCTTTGTCATACACCGGCCTTAAAGGCGAAGTTGTTACTCAGAAGTTTAGTCAATCTGACTGTTTTACTGAGTATATAAGAAGCTACAATTACAATGTTAACGACACTTGGAATTACTCTTCATTAAAGCAAACTACCAAAACCACCTTAATTGTATCAGATTATGAGACCTGCTTGTCTCTAAGCAGTGTTTGTGTGAAGTTTGTTTTATCATTGTGTTGTGGATAATACAATGGCGCAGTTGAAGAGTATTAAGGTCACCGAGTTAAACGACTCCAATTACTCGCGATGGAGGTACAGGTGGAGGATGTGTTGACTGGTGAGTCCTTGTGGTCTGTTGTGAATGGGACACTGACGATGCCCCTAGATTCGGCAACGGATAAAGCGGCGCATGAGCACCACCTGAAGTGGATAGCTGCCGATGGAAAAGCCAGAAGTATTTTGCGCGCAACAGTGGATGATACCACCTTCAGTCAGTGTCGGGACTGCAAGACGTCCGCTGAGATTCTGAAGAGGATCCAGGAGCTGAAAGAGCCGAAGACTGACAACGACTTGATGTCGGCGATGACCGAATTTTTCGAAGTCAAGTGGAAGGAGGTAGACGACGCAAATACATTCATGGCATCATTGTATGTTCTAGCGGCGAAGATAGACGCGTGCGGGAAGCCGGAAAAGGTTACCGACACCTGGTTGATCGGTAAGACGCTGGCCAGCTTGCCCAAACAGTACGCGTCATTTGTGTCGTCGTGGAACATGATGGCCGGTCCTAATCCTGAGATGTCCAAGTTCCGGGAGAAGCTGCTCCTAGCGGAAAAGATGATGAAGGGACAGGGAGAAGGAAGCAGGTCCAGTCCAGCCGGTGAGTCGCTGTACGCAAAAGGTAAGCGACTACCAACTGGAGCGAAGAAGAAGTTCACCGGAAGCTGCCACAACTGCGGCAAAGCGGGCCATAAAGAGGCCGATTGCTGGTCAAAGCCAAAAGGGGAAACAGTCACCAACAAGCGACAGGACAAGTCCGGTCACGGTTACAAGAAGGAATCGATGATGGTATCAGCCATGCATGCGACCGGAAGTGAGGATGTGATCATCGCCGATAGTGGGGCAAGTGACCATATCACGAATAAATACAACTGGTTTAAAACTCTAGTTAAGCTAGATGTTCCCAAATCGTTCGTGGTTGGCAACAATCAGAGCATCAAGGCTACCCATATTGGCACGATTGACGTCGAAGTGTCCGTTGATGGGAGACAGTGGCGGGAAGTGGATTGGAAGAATGTCTTCTATGCACCCGATGCATGTGACACTACGCTGCTGTCCACGGTGACCTTGGAGCGAGAAGGATTCGCATTTTCCCACGCTAAAGGCAAGATGACAATCAGCAGAGATGGCAAGCCGTTCCTGGGTGGAGTGCGAGGTGACGGTACAACGTACCGACCTTTCATACGCGTGGTGCCGCCAAGTGGAGGTGCGCTGAAGGCGCAGCCTGTGGGAATTTGGCACCAACGACTTGGACACGTCAGCGACGCATTGGTCGACTCCATGGTCCGCAACAAGGTGGTGGACGGCCTGGAGGTGGTGACCTCGAAGCGCGGTGACTGTGAAGCGTGTCATATGGGAAAGCAAACGGCTAACACCCATGACAGCAGTGCTGGAAGGGAATGTCTATCAGGTGAGAGGTTCCATAGTGATGTGTGTCATATGGGCGCAGACTCCTGGGAAGGACATCGATATCTCTTGACGTTCAAAGATGAAAGCAGCGGATACAGAATGGTTCGAACACTACCAAGTAAGCACTCTGTGGGTAATGCATTCAAAAGAGTTGATTATCACAGCAGAAAGGGAAACTGGTAGAAAGGTGTTGTCGATTCGCACGGACAACGGGACTGAATACATCAACCAGGAGGTTGAAACGCTGTTTCAGAACAGAGGATAAAGCACGAAAGAAGTCCGGCGTACGTGAAGCAAGCAAACGGCATGGCAGAACGGGAAAACCGCACGCTCTGTGACAGTGCGCGAACGCTGCTCTACGATGCGGACATCACAAAAGTGAGAAAAATCTTCTGTGGAATGAAGCCATCTCAACCGCTGCCTACCTACGGAACATTGTGCCAAATCGGGGAAAGCTGGAAATTACCCCGTATGAATTGTGGCACCGCCGAAAGCCAACAGTTGACCACCTGCGGGTGTTCGGATCAACTGCCTACGTGAAAGTTCCGGAGGATCAGAGACGGAAGCTGGATCCCAAGTCGGTAAAAACACTGTTTGTAGGTTACGATTGGGATACCACGAAAGTGTTCCGGGTGTTCAACCGGGAAACGAAAAAGGTGGAGCGGGTTGGAGATGTGGTTGTCGCGGATGGTGGCGACGAGATTCCCGAAGTTGCTCTACGGTATCCTGCCTCAAAGGGGGATGAGAGCGAGCGGGATGATGACGAAGAGTGGGAAGATGCGGAGGATGAGCTGGGAAGCGAGACTGCTGTAGAAAAGGCAGCAGTTGAGAAGCGACGGCCAGGGCGACCACCGGGATCAAAGAATCTGGTGAAGGATCCGCCTCTTCCGCATCCCATGGAAACCAGAGCCAAGGGAGCTGCGTTGAGCGCAATGGCCACGGCCGCAGATCCAGTTGATGTTCAGGATGCGCTGTCGAGAGCAGACGGGCACCTGTGGAAGGAAGCAATGGATGCTGAAATTGAAGCGCTGTATAAAACGGGCACTTGGACTTTGGAACAGCTACCAGCAGACCGGCGCACTGTGAAGTGTAAGTGGGTTTTTAAATCGAAACTACTTCCAGATGGCGAGCTGGATAAGCGGAAAGCGCGGCTTGTGGCATGCGGCTACTCACAAGCGCAAGGCATCGACTACGGCGAAACCTTTGCCCCCGTCGTACGACACGAATCGGTGCGCTGTGTGTTAGCGGTGGCTGCTGCACGCAACCTGGAAATGGTGCAGTTTGACGTGAAGACTGCATTTCTGAATG